CCGAGCTGATAATAGAACGAAATATATTTTATCATGAATTTAGTATATAAGAAAACATATTAAAAATGGGTTGGCTAAAAAAATCCTGGGCGGACTATTTTTAATTGTCTTTCGAAAAATGATTTTTAATTAAATGTTGCAACATCAGGATAATAAAAAAAATTGTCCTGACTGAAAGTATAAAACGTATAGAATGTGCAGCCGTTGGGTTGTCTACTATTTACCTGGGCGAACTACTGGGTTGTCAGGTAAACACAGGTATATCGATGCCAGTTACTTTCACTGGATTGGATAATTAAAAAAAAATTATATCATCATAAGCGCTGTTTAATTACGAACACGTTGATATAGGGTTGTCTGCGAAAATTCCGGTCCTATTAGGGGTTTGCGAATTTTAAAGATTTTAATTTCAACGCGCGTGGAAGTGTGTGACAGAGAGATCCGAGGTAAGTATACTGTGTAATAATAAAGGACCCAACATCGCAGTCGCTTGTGATGAGACCCTGAATAGTAGAAAGTGCGCATGCACGGTGTGTAAACTATGGAGGGTAGAGGTACCTCTACTACCCTTCATAAAGTAAACAGTGCGTGTTATTTTGGAGCAACTGATATTTCAGTAGCAAAAAAAAATAATTAAATAATTACATAATAATTGAATATATTTAATATAATACTAATATATAAAAACAATATAATATCAATATATTGCGTTATAACCATAATAATATATCTATAATCTATAATAGACAATAAAAATATCAATTACTTACTTTGGAATTTTTTTGCTCTTTCTGGAAATAGAAACAAAGTGGACCGCCAAAAATTTAAATTAAGAAATAACAAAAAAGATAGACTAGACATATTGTATTACGATTTAAAATTTTATCAAAAAACAGTATAAATACAAAAATAATATTAATGAAAAATAAATTCTAATAAATATTTTCTATTCAATATCTGATTCATCAGAAGTATCTTTTTGACTCTCGAATTCGTCTGATTCATTAGATTCTTCCTCATTTGCTTCCATTTCGACAATGTCCTGGATTTTCAAAGGACTTTGATCTCCGATAAAACCTGTTGGTTTTAATAAATCATCAAAATGCCAACCATAGTTTTCAGGATTTGACTTCGCACACTTCGCACACTTTCTACTATTCAGGGTCCCATCACAAGCAACTGCGATGTTGGGTCCTTTATTATTACACAGTATACATAACTCGGATCTCTCTGTCACACACTTCCACGCGCGTTGAAATTAAAATCTTTAAAATTCGCAAACCCCTAATAGGACCGGAATTTTCGCAGACAACCCTATATCAACGTGTTCGCAATTAAACAGCGCTTATGATGATATATATTTTTTTTAATTATCCAATCCAGTGAAAGTAACTGGCATCGATATACCTGTGTTTACCTGACAACCCAGTAGTTCGCCCGGGTAAATAGTAGACAACCCAACGGCTGCACATTCTATACCTTTTATACTTTCAGTCAGGACAATTTTTTTTTTATTATCCTGATGTTGCAACATTTAATTAAAAATCATTTTTCGAAAGATAATTAAAAATAGTCCGCCCAGGATTTTTTTAGCCAACCCATATTTAATATGTTTTCTAATATACTAAATTCATGATAAAATATATTTCGTTCTATTATCAGCTCGGTGAAGGTCGATTTAGGTTCGGATCTTAGACTAGTAATGACCGCTGAAAGATTCTATATTGATATGCCGCTCTCTACCTATATGGAGATCAAACTGTAACACATCTGGTCGCTTCAATGCCTGTATCTTTTTTTTTATCTCTTGGAGTGCGCGAAACGGAATCCCTATAATGTTCGAGTAACATCGTGCGTACCTAAGGATGGAGGATAGGGAGAGGACGTAGATGTTGACATTTTTTTCAAACTGTTGGAGAATAATATTGAGAATTATAGGAAAATTTCACTCCTGTCAGAATTTTCTAAAGTACTTGAGAGGTGCATCTATAATCAGATTGTTAGCTTTATTGAGAAATACAACCTTCTTACAGTTGATCAGCATGGCTTTAGAAAAAAGAAATCTATTGAAACCGCTAGTTATGAGATGATGAACTACATTTATCAAGAACTTGATGCAGGTAACTATGTTGTATCTCTCCTATTCGACCCCTCCAAGGCCTTTGACAGCCTCAATTTCAATAAGGTTTTGGAGCAACTATACGCATTGGGAATTAGAGGCAGGTCACTGAGATGGATTGAATCTTACTTACATAACACAAAAATAATCGTCAGAATTAAAACGAATTCTCCCAAAAACATCCCATTTCTCTTGGACTTCTACAGGGCTCTGTCCTAGGGCCCTTAATAGTTCTACTCTATATCAATGATTTACCAAACTACACCACCACAGGCAAAGTGATAATATTTGCAGACGACACCACAATTACCCTAGCTGGAAAAACTCCTGAGGAACTCCAAGTGAAGATAGAGCAAACCATAAGTGAGATGGAAAGCTGGTGTCAAAGAAATGACCTTATTCTTAATAAAAGTAAAACCCTTTGTATACATTTTCACATGAGGAAGCATTTACCCTACTCTCTACTACGCACCATCTAAAACTTGATAATCATGTCAAGCTACTAGGTACTTACTTGGACTCAAATCTAAGCATTGACACCCATTTAAATCATGTCTGTTCCACTCTCAACAAGTCATTCGATGCCATTTTCCAAATGATATCCTACCCAGATCAAGAGGGGCTAATGAAACTGTACTACAGCTTTGTATATAGTCACTTAGCATATAACGTCATTACTTAGGGCTCCGCCTGAGGATGACACAGAGTATTCATCGCTCAAAAAATAATTATTCATCTCATATCAAGTATGTAATTCCGAGAAAGCTGTAGGCAGACTTTCCGGGAAAAAAAATTACACTTGCATCTATATCTTGAAATGTGTAACTCACATGAAGCTACATCCTGAAAGGTTTCATCTGCAGAACAGTCTTCATAGATACAATACTAGATGCAATGAAATGTCTATTGCTAAATATAATACTTCAACTTTCCAAAAATCTCCCATTTTCAACTGCATAACACTTTTCAATGCTTTACCGGAGAACCTAAGAAGCTTGGATAGCTTCAACATTTTTAAATCAATGGTAAAATACTTCCTCATAAAAACTGTTTTTATTCTATTGAAGGATTTATTTCTTACAGAGGTTTTCAAATTCTTCTTATCCCATATGTGTTGTAATTTGTACATGATTTTTTTATTATTATTATAATTGCATATTATGTGTCGTAATTAGTATCATACACTGAGGAAAATTTCTATTAACCATAGTCAGAAATCGAATTACCCCAGCAAGAAACTCTAATCACCTGTGATTATAAAGTCGACTTTGCTGATTATAACCCACCTGCGATTATTAGATATAGAACCTTGCTGTCACTAGCGAGTGCATCTGTATGATGCTATTAGACGATGTTTCTGTAGTAGGTATCTGACTTTGCTACCGCTAGTGAGTGCATCTAATAATGAGAGTAGGACAATGTTATAATCGTAGGTAGGGAACTTTGCTACTCTTGATGGGTGATCATATAGATAGTTGCATGACCTTCTTACTGTATAGTTATTCAGTTATTTTCCAGGATTGTTGTCATCAAGAAAGGTGAAATTTTGACTGATATCCACTTTCACTTCCCATAATTTCCACCCTGATGTTTGGTATGAATAGCAATTTATTGATTCCTAAAGATTTCGGACCAATGATCTTTGAAATTCAATAGATCAATTGATTCATGCACCCTCAGGAAAAACCAAAGGGTTTTTTGAGTAATTGATGAAAAAAAGAATTTTTCTGAAACCTTCTGAAACCATTGTATTTCGAGAACTAGGCAAGTTATTACAGATGCGTACAGGAAAACAAAATGTTACCAGTAAAATCATTCAAATAATTTCATCACCTGGACATTTTTGCTCACAATAAGTTTTCAGACCAGATTCTATAGAGAAGCTCTGAAACATATTTGACCATTTTAAAGTTTCATGATACCAAAGATAGGAAAATGTTATTGAATGTAAAATATTCGAATTTCAGACGAAATACCTCGAAAAAACTCACCTTCATCATTCCATCAATCCTGGTATAATAACTGAAGCACTCAGATCTACGAAAGCACTGAAAGGGACACAGAAGATTTTTTTATTTGTTTGGAAATGTTTACATTTTATATTTGAATTCAGATTCAGATTTTGAATAATGAATTGAATTCAAGGGGGGAAGTATTCGTAACTGTCGTGTCGTCGAGATTGTCGTCCTGTACATGGGTTTGCATCAAGAGCCCAACTGTGAATGATTGATCAAGCAAGATGTCTGACAAATGTTTACATAGAGGGGGACAAATCAGCGAAATATCGAATAACGATGAGTAGGCGCTAAATAACCCCAAGTTGGTTCGTCAAATATTATGTTCGTGGCAGACTGACAGTTATATTATTGGAAGTGAGTGCAGTTCAATGCGATGAACCTCGCAGCCACAAGCCTATAACTCACTAGTAGTAGTTCAGCTAGACAATTATAAAAAAAACTCATGCTGTCCCAGAGTGGCTGCCTGATAGCTACAGCAGTATACCTTCCTGTGGCAGGAAATTCACTTTCAGCAAAGTCGTTATTGCTATCATAGGATTTGAAGGTGGTGCTTCTATTCGAAAATGTATAACGGTAATATGATTTCTTGTAATGGTAGCAAGAAATATCTCAGCAAAAACTCTAATAATAGCACAATTTTCCTCAGTGAACCTAGCTAATTGAACTCACAATTTTTATAATTTTTATCTATACACTATGTATTGTGCTTGTGCATCTGTGACCTGCCATCTGTACTATGTATTTTTATATGGCCAATAAAGACTACTACTACTTTAAGTTCTCGGTAATACTTCCTCAGGAAATGAAATCATTATTATTATTATTATTAATCATACTATTATTATTTCACTATTTTGTTCTAGAAGTAAGAAGAAATTTTCGAATCGCCAGAAAGGATGCATGCTGATGTTAGCCCTCGCGGACTTCATGAGTTTCTGCTCCATGTCCATCATGGCCCCCTTCTACCCCAAGGAGGCAGCCAACAAAGGGATGACCGAATCGATGGCCGGCGTGGTCTTCGGTTATTATGCCATGATAGTATTCCTTTCTTCACCAATTATCGGAAAAATTGTGAGTTTATCTTAATCAGACAATCCATCCAACCTTGTTAGCTTATGATGACTTCAGATTTCGAATGATTTTTTCTCGAGGAGAGCAGGCAAACAATATATTCACATATTTATACAGTGAGGACGTAAAAAGTCCCCACCCCCATTTAACCTTTACACGGTACAAGCTGGCGAGGTCGGGTGAAATTCAGGCACAAAGGTACCTCTTTCACTACTATTTGGCATGAGAATGGTTGTGGTCACGTGACCTAGCGTCGAGTGGGCACCATCAACTTTTTTGAATATAAAGTGGGATCACGTGGTACCTTGTTTTAAAGGCCTTTCGATTCTCTATCGAATTCCGCTTTGTTTATGCAAATCGGTCGAGCCGTTTCAAAATGACAAGCGATCTCAACACAGAGGGCTTTGGAAATATTTACAAAAAAAAACATCAACTCCCCAGGGGGCCATTTCTAGGCTCAGGTTCACATGAACCTTTTTGAACCTATAATGATTCAATGTGTATCAATATTTCCATAATCGACAAGTATAGGTGTATCGATATGAAGTGACACTTACCCACCTCTTACTGTATAATTTTAATAATTATCGGTTATAATTACACAAGTGCATAAAAATTACCAATAATTTTGCAAAAGAGCGTGTTATATCTAAAAATTGCAAGAGTGTATTTTCATATTTTGCCGAAAGAGCCCTAGTCTATCTGACATCTGACGTCTAGCGACATGGTTTTAAATGTGTTGTTATGAGGACGGGATCTCTTCGCAGTGCAATCTTCCCTCTGCAGTGCAATTACCGATTTATGAGGGAAATATTCATTATGAATACTCTAAAATCAATGCGTTAGATATAAAATGTTAGGTATTTCTTCATTGATTTTCTTCTCTTTCAAATTGCAACTAAGGTATGAAATAGACTATGAAAATTTCGATTCTATAGTCAATTTATCCCAACAGCCATTTTTATGCGACAAACATATTAACTGAATTCGAGTTTCAGTGGTTAATGCATCTTGATTGAAAATAGTTGGAAGATCATGAGACGAAATCGATTTAGATGAAACAATCTCTTCCATGTAAACTTCAAATTCATCAGCCATTCAAATATCGATATTATTTTGGGAAGAAGTGAATCAATTATTATTCAATGGATTAAAAATTGTTCGCTGAATTAACGGGTTCGTCAAATCGCTGCTGGATGATAGATCCGAAAAAAACTATCAACAACCACATCAATTAATGGTAATTGAAACTATCAACAAACAATTTGATTCATGTACGATCACTGGAGTTGTAGTAATTATCTCCATAGATGACATACATTATTACATATCTACTAGTCTATTTTTTATATCTTCAACCGCACGAAAGGGAAGCCTTATTATGGTCGAAAATAATAAACAATCCTAAGATTGTTGAGTTGTTCAAAATGTTTTACCAGATCGTTGAATTGATGTAACATTCGGAATCATATACCATATATGATATGGAATTTGTTTTCCAAACAAACATATTTTATGAATCTTCATTTAATTCAAGGCACATTTTCAAAATAGTACTAGTGTCTTATGGTGGATATAAGTCACGCTGAACAATTTGAATACAGATGTTTTTTTTTTCAGTTACCAAAGGTTGGAGTGAAATTCGTATTCACTGGTGGTTTCCTCATCTCCGGTATTAGTAGTGTAGCTTTTGGGTGAGTACTAAACGATATATTATGTTCCTGAACAATATTTCTTCGGAAAGCATTATGCAAATTATTTTAGTTGTTTCCTCTATCGGGTGGTCACAAAAAACCAGAAGTTTTCATTTTCCTCGTAGCTTCATCATTTTGTACCGAATTCGAAATTCTTGACGTCATTTTGTAGCTTAAGCGCCGAGTTGAGCGCTATAGTTTACAGTGCTATATTAAAAAATTCTATAATTAAAGAAACAAAATGGTGGAGTACCTCAAACATTCGTGATTTACAAAAACCGCTGGCGAATAAGAAAATCACAATTTTTCCAACCTGTTCCGATGTTATTTTAGAATATTAATTTCTGAAGAGAATGAGTACTCGAACATCGAAATCGAACAAATAGTACAGGAGATACACTCACCTTTTCCCAGTTTGTTATGGAATGAATGTGCTAATCTCGTAATAACGATTATTATCATTTTGCTTCTGGTTTTATCAAATTTCAATCAATATCGAATTTCTCAGAGCTATTTTAAGGATGAAATGCTGAATTACACAGTGAAAGATTTCATAATGAGTAGCGTAGAAAATATGGGAGGAAAAGTGACCACAACCCACTGTTGCGCACCAGCGGATGAAATTTCCGGAACTTGCTAGTCAAAAAATGACCCATTCAGTTGCTAAAACATGCCAACGCTATGTCCATAAAATAACTAGGGAAACAGATTTCTGTTTTCCATCTATAGACAATTCTCTTATAGCCTCTTCTGATAAAAGAGATCATAGAGATCATCTAAAAGAACTGTTCACGAGACTGGATGAACATGAAATCGTTATTAATGCAGGAAAGGCGAATTTAGAACGGATTCCATAGACTTTTCAGATCACCTCGTTGATGGGAATCGGTACACGGTACACGACATGAAAAATAAAACGCTTTTTGGTCCATAATTTGCAGATTCCCTATATAATTGAATGATTTATTATGAAAATTTCCATATTCGAGTCATTGAATAAGTTTGTCTTTATGATTGTGGATATGGCAGGCTCAATAAAACTATGAATAGATTATGTTGGTTTCAACTGTATTGGATATCAAAAAAAATGTAGAGAATTTGCATAGTCGAATCATAAAGTACGAGATACAGTTTAGTTTATTGGAATACGTTATATAACATGGCTACATTTTCAAGAAGATACTCTATAAATATTCAACACGTTATAAACATAAATAAAAAAATAATTGATGAGATTTCTATACGTTCACGATGGTTCAAGTATCCATCAACATCATCAGAAAAATTTGAAAAAATAATCTGTTCCACTTCTTCCTTGAATCTATTGTTTTCCTTGAGAATATGTGGAAATACACAATCAACTCCGACGAAACGTAACCTAGTGAGCTGAAAGAGAGGAACACAGGACAGACAGTCTATTTTATGCTGAGACACATTGGTTTTGGTGAAATATAAAGGGTCATAACTAGAGCGTGTTATTCCATATCTTTTCTGAAAGATGAAAAATTCAGTCTATAGTCAGAGACAATTCATTTTGAAAAGTGTTTGAAGAAGAGGAATATATATAGAAATTACGGGAAAACATCAAATCTTCGCTTAACTTGGGACCTCCTGGGAACGAATCTGCTACCGTGTTCAACATATAAATGGAAAATATTAATCCTGTTGATCCTGTCCAATTATCTTCGGATTTCTGTAATAAAAACACTGCTCAGTGACAGATGTTGCTGCAAACAAGCGAGTTACAGGATTTTTCCATCAATTGATCTTGAATTTACCATTTTTGTATCCAGTATTCAGTAGTAAACACCATGATTTAGCTATCAACTGAACAAGAAGCAATGCTATCGTCTCCGTTCAGAAGAATGCAAGCGAATTCTTTGATTTTTCTCTTTGGTCCTTAACTTATTTTCCTATAATTTCAATGTTATTACATTCCGCCATATGTTGTCCATTTTCAGTAGGAATAAGTTCAGCTAATTCAGTTTTGTCGGTATTCAATTCATTCTTCAACTTTTAGTTACATTGATCGTCAAGAGGAATATATATAAATTAAACATATGGAGCTATAATAGTGATTTCAATACATCTTCTATATCGAAATGTGCACTCCATTCATCCCAAGTCTAGTGGAATTTTTTTCAAGAGAATACCTTTATGCGCTTCCATGACTTGATGAAATCGAATTGATTTTTTATCCCATTACGAGCTATATACATCAAACGAAACGATTTATTGCCATCATTTGGAAACATTAAATCGAATATTGCAAAGTAAATATCAACATGTAGCTCAAAATGCTCAACACTATATGAAACAAAAGCACGAATATTGAAGAATCACGGAAAGCACTTCACATGATTTTCAGGCTTTCAGGATTCGGACTGAAATTTGCCTACAAACTCTTTGAAAATACTGTTTCTGGACTAATAACGTGAACTAATATTTTCAGATCTCTTTACCTCATTCAGGATTATAATACTTTCACGATATTGTCATTCGTGATAAGAGGATTCCAGGCCCTTGGATCCAGTGCATATTCCACAGCTGGCTTCGTGTTGGTCATCAACATTTTTCCTGATCATGCCGCCACTGTGAGGGTGAGTTCTCAGGATTTACATTTCTAAATTCAGTTTTTGAAAACCCTTTTCTGAATATCAGCTTGATGGGTATGGCTATTTACAAACATCAAGTCGTCAAAATCGTCAAAAGGAAAGTTGAAATTTGGCTCCTTTTTCAGTGCAAAATATTTTCCTTTGAAACAATTATTCTTCTCTGAAATCCATATTATTGATTTCTCAGATCAACTTAGCTAAATCTAGGTTTTGAACTCAGACCACTGACGGTTGACCAAAAAAGGCAAACATCTGATGAATTCACCACCAAGTTTGCAGCTTTGAAAGGCATGTGCTAACTTCGTGGTGTCCGATAAACCTCGGATTTTTTTCCACTGATTTGTTTTCTGCCGAAATCTCCTGAATAGGTGCTTCCTTCGGAAAAGGATACTCCATAGTTCTTTGAAGCTGTGAACATGTCTCAAAATTTGATCTCGACCCTAATTTTTCAGGAATAATATAGATACCAAGATACAGAACCTCAAAAATTGTATTTTTTTACTAAAAAGTCAAATTAATGTTTCGTGGATTACAGGAATTCTGGTCAGACCTATGGACATATTTAACAACTGAACAGGTGCTGATCAATATGATGACGACCCAATGGGGCTTGACGCATTGCTCCAGTTAGCAGAGTGACCTAAAGCGACCTCATATTGACGTCTATTTCACGTTATTTCTGGTCCACGACATCTTTTGACCGAAATATGAGCTAAAAATGACGTCATATCTCATTACGTCTCATTGACGTTTGATACTCGAGGTCTACAAATAAGAAAAATCAGTCGACTTCTTACCTTTTCATCGTCTGTTGTAATGAAGGACCTCGCACGAATCAAATGCAATTTTGATTTTTGTCATTTTACCTGAAATTTTGGGAGAAAGTAGTTCAAAGTGTGCTGAACAAAAGTCTCCATGGGGTCAAACGATTTCTGTGAGTAGTTTTCTTGCTACGCTCCCGTGAATCCTCTGATGCTACGTATAGAAAAACATTTACTACATGTTCTACTAAGTGGGTACACACGCACTTGTGAGATATCGAAATCGAAGTCAGGTTAGGTTAGATTGCTTTGGGTGTGTATCTGTGTGTTAGTGTGGGTGCATTGTGGGTGTGTGTGTATACAGGGTCATACAAAGAGACCAAAGTACCTGTCACGTCCACGTTCGTTGGCCTTGAGTGGCGCAAAGAACAGGTGATATGATTAATAATATGACAGTTGATAGATGTCAATGTATGTAAAATATAGTAATGAAATAAAGCTTAACTTATCAGCAAACCTCCTGAATTTCTGAATTTGATTTCGATATCTCACAAGTGCGTCTGTACCTCCTTTGTAGATCTTTTAGTCAAGTTTTTTCTATACGTAGCATCAGAGGATTCACGAGAGCTTAGCACGAAAACTACTCATAGAAATCGTTTGGCCCCATGGGGACTTCTGTCCAGCACACTTTGAACTACATTTCCCCAAAATTTCAGGTAAATACTGAGTACATTCAGTTTTAGCCAGATTATCAATTTCTGAGAAATCTGATGAAACAAGTCGATTTGTATTTTCAATTAACCATATAAATATAGAAAATTCATATACACAGGTTGATCCACGTTTGAGTTACGACAACCACGATTTGTTTATTGAAAGGAACCTTATATATCATTCAACTTTTGGAATCAACATGAGAAACTGAATTCAAAAATGTATTACACATGTGGATTGTATACAGTGCGTCCAATAAATGCAATGCTCTCGATACGATTTCTTCGTTAGAAGTGCTGCCAACGTTAGGGTACATCTGGTTTGTCTGCCAGCAATCAAAGGAGCTGCTGCTTAACACACCTATCGCATGTACCACCAGTTGCCGAAGTAGTTGAGGGTGGATATAGGGACCCATTTGACTGGGGATGCTCTAGGAGTAAGCAGAGGCTCCTTCCCTTGCAAAAATCTGAAGACCCTGCCTAAAAACTCTCCTCAAAAGTCTCGCAAATGCCGCAAGAAATACGCGCGAAGAACTCTTTCGTAGGCCCCGTTGAAATCGACGACACTAACGCCGATGAAGACCTCAATAGCCCCCTATAGCTTTCCCCTTCTAATCACAAGAATCAGTAGGAATCTCCGAAGGATTTCGGTTTTAATCGACATGAAGTTGCGAAATCGTACATTTCAAGATCAAAATAGTCCTTAAATTGAACATCTTTTTCGAAAAGTCATAGTTGATATTATAGAAGAATTGAGATTCCAGAAATTAAACATGTTTTCACTGTCAATATTGAGATGTTTCCTTTGAAGTTGGTTCAGCGAATCGTCAGGTTCCGATCTCGTGCTTCTCCGATTTCTTCAATTTTTGTTTGTCCAGGATAACGATGTAACAGTTGGGCCTGTAGACTTCATTCTGGGCTCAAACTGAAGCCCAATAAATGCTCTACAACTACATTTACAATTATTTTTTTGGGGATGAGTTTCTATTACAGTCAATATTTAGCCCGACAGGCGACAAAAACTGAACTTTTTGACTTTAAAACAAATATATTTGGGGTCCTGATGTATCTTGGGAACAATCAGACCTGAAAATGTGGGACTGAGTTCAAATTGTAGGAAATTTTCATAGCTTCAATAGAGGATAGAGTTGCTTTTTCCGTAGGAAGCACTCTTCCAGGAGTTTCGGACAAAACACAATCAGTAGGTAAATACCAAAATATCAGAAACATGTGAATTTATCGAATGTTGGATGTCTAAAGACAGTCATCAATTGGTTCATTTTAATTTAGACATCATGCCAATACTGCAGAAAATGTAAGCCGTGCTAATATTATTCAGTATATTTATTTCACCTATCTCAAAGTCAATCCGTGAATACATTATAGAAGCCGCAATAATATGTAAAAATCATTAATCATGATATAATGAATCTTTCCACTAGATTTCTGACTTCAATTATCATTCACAGGGTATTTTAGAAACTTTTGTTGGCCTTGGATTGAGTGCTGGTCCAGCAATTGGCGGAATATTATTCGCGGTGAGTTAAACTTTCCATTTACTGGGTTAATTATCCTAATAAGTAGATATACCTACCTATTTTCGTATTGTCGAACGCAGATGGTTATTATTACTAAAGACTGAAACATTTTCATTTTGAATAACTCTAAAATGAAGTTTAGATAGTATTCCATAGGTGGGGTAGATACGGGTAATATTCTAGGTCGCAGATCGCTGTCACTGATGAAGGCTGAATCATTTTCATGTTCAATAAATTGTTAATGAAATTTTGATAATTTTCATAGGTGGGGTAGATAGGGTGTGTCAACAACAGGGTTATTTTCAACATCTAGTCCTATTCGAACATGCAGTCATACGTCATACATAATATATAAGTACATGGAGGTTCTGAAGAGAAATTCTAAACTCGCTACTTGATAACCTTAAGTATTCTATCAGATCCCGTGACCAATCATCTGTCAAGCGATGTCGGTCAAATTTTGCAACACTGGGTAGGAGTAACTATTAGTTTGGACGGTACATGAATTTGTTCCTGCTTTTAAGTCGTGTGAATTTTGCAAAAATCGAAACTATATTGTTCATCTTTTTGAAGGCTCATCTTCTTCTTATTATTATAACGTGTATATTGATACGTTCTCAATACATGTTTATTAATGTATTTTTTTCTAGAAAGTTCGGAGGGTTCGGGCTTCCTTTTTATGTGATAGGATTACTGATGATCGTCGTATCTCCTTTGAATATTTGTGTACTGCCTCCTGCTGAAAGTAAGTAACTCTTAATTAAACAGTTGATGTATTGGGCGAATGAATTGATACTTTTCACGAGTATGTACAAAGCTTCGACAGCAATCCCAGCAAACATGTTTTCTGCGGCCCGATAATGGCGAGATGAATATTGCCGTCGAGCGGTTTCAGCGGTCCTCTAATGTACAACTACACTGGACCGGCTAGCCCGTGTCCCGGCGGCCGACAGCCGACCGCCTCTCCTATGCCATCTGTGTCCCGCCCATTACATTACAGGGCTATTAAAGGGCGACTGGAAGTACTTAAACTCACAGTATACATGGTGCAACTACGGGCTGATGAAGACTATCTTCAACTGCCCGCTTCGATACTTACGTTCATTTGATTGGGATATCATTCAGGGCCATTGCCGGTGGATTTAGTCGATTTTTTTTCAGAAATCCTTGAATAACGTTTTTCATCAAAATTTGTGAAGAATATTTTGTTCTACGACTGTCACGAAATATCTTTATTTTATTTTCAATGATGATTGACTCCATTGTGTTATTATTCCACAAAACCTCTTCTTCCATGAAATGTCAGATTTCTAGCAATGACAGCTCTGTCAGATAGATGAGAATTATACTTGAGAGAAAATCAGATGGCTACAAGCCGAATCAATAAAGAAATTCGCTGTTATCCGTTACGACCGTAGAAAAAGTATAGTATATAACTCGCACAGAATGCTAATTTCCCACTCGAATGCTGCAATCATTCGAGTGGGAAATTAACATTCCGTGCGAGTTATATACTATACTTTTTCTACGGTCGTAACGGATAACAGCGAATTTCTTTATTGATTCGGCTTGTAGCCATCTGATTTTCTCTCAAGCATAATTCTCATCTATCTGACAAAGCTGTCATTGCTAGAAATCTGACATTTCATGGGAGAAGAGATTTCGTGGAATAATAACACAATGAAGTCAATCATCATTGAAAATAAAATGAAGGTATTTTGTGACAGCCGTAGAAAAAAATATTCTATACAAATTTTGATGGAAAACGTTATCGAAGGATTTCTGAAAAAATCTACTAAATCCACCGGAATATACTTTTGTCGCATACCAATAAAAAATTATTTTGAAATTTTTCGAATTTGAAGTAACATAAGAAAAAATTGAAATATAATTTTTGATGGGCCTCTGTCTTTAGGAAAAATAGTATACTAACACATTATAACATGTCCTCCAAGTTCCTTTGCATGACACATCAATAATTTTTTAATTTCAGGATTTGTGCCTGAAATTTGAGAAAATAAAAATGAACGGCTTGAAAGACATTTAATTGAAACTAACCATGTCAGATAATTGTTTACTGAACTTAAATACTATTTGTGATGATAAACTTCAGTTTGGCTTAATTTTGAAAGCTTCACAGGCATATGAAGTTATCCGAAATAACAGCGGAGATATACGGAGTGTCCCATTTGAAAGCGGGCCACCCTCATATTTTTTTATTTATGGAGCGATTTTGACGATTTTTCTTTCAAATATGGAGGAGAGAATAGTTATAATTTTATAGCTAAGCGGTGTCCACTTTTTTCAAAAACCAAGGCCTACTAGAACACATTCAAAGGCTGAAAAAAACAGAATCAATGAATGTCAATGTTGAATATTTTCTCATGAATCTTGGTAGGTACGGATTTTTTCAATAAAAAATCAATTAATAGATTCTGGATTTTTCAGCCCCTCTGAATGTGATCTAGTAGACCTCGATATTCAAAGAAAGTGGACTTCACTTAGCACCAAATACACATTTTGAAGAAAAAATCGTCAAAATCATTACATAAATGAAAAAATCATGAGGGTGGCACCCTTTCAAATAGGTCATTCTGTATATGATGAAAAATAAGTATTTTAGAAATAGTTGATTGGGTATATCACTGATATCAGAATAATATGGTAATCATTCTCTGAAAAAGTTATTTCAGAAGTTTCATATTACAATAATGAGCGGGGAAAATGCTCCAAAGGGTAAGTGAAAATTCCTATTGTTATCATAATATAATTTTTATATTACAATGAATAAAAAATATCAAAATACAACCAAAATAAAATTCAGGTATAAAAAATATACAGGTCACTCTGCATAGAAACATTCTATTGAAAAAAAAAACGCAAAATATAAATGAACATAAATAAGTATTACATAACAAAATACAAATAAGGAACATGAAATCAAAATCACAAAATGAAAAAGGAACATAAATACCATTTGGATGTTTTGGACACTTATTCTCATATATTGAAATGAGACTCATCACAACTAACTCTATAGAAAAATATGAACAATTCATTATTTTTTCAAGAACCTTCTTGCACGCCCTCCTTCTCTGTCAGTGGCTGAACGGAGCCAGCCTTTAATTAAATTTTCCACCTCATCTAAGGTCGGAGGTTGAATTAGTGGATTGTTTCGAACAGATACTGTAAACAAGACATTGACAGTGAATATACATATCAACATATTCAGATATACAGGTTGTTTTGCAATTGAAAACTGATACTAGAGAACAATCATCAGAATCTTCAGATGATTTCACGGTAAATGCTTAATATGAACATAGGTCTGCAACCACTTTATTTTTGAAATACAGAATATATGATGAACATAGGTCAGTTAAGAATTGTGATAATACAGGACACAAACTGTATTTTTTGAAAAATAGCTTTTATAAGCTCAAGATTTTTTGAAAAAAGAGGTTTTTTTTTAATTCCCAAACTAAATTGGGTACTTCTATGAAACTTGGTGGATATCAACATGGTGTAGAGACACTTCTTATGTGAAGTAAGTTAAGTGAATTTTCAGTTCCAACCATTAAATTGTCATCCTGTGTATCATAAATGTATACCATGAATAGACTGTTCAAATGCACTTTTTCTTTCAAAATTATGCACATATATTAACCCTTTCCAAAATTGATATCCAATTATAAAATACCCTGTACAATGATGAGGTGAAGAGTAAATAATAAAAAAGAATTGAATAATATAAATGAAATAATAAAAAACAAACCGTGGATTAATTTGATGATATTTTTCATATCAATGAATCCATTTTTGTTGTTCCTTCCAGTCCAGTTTGTGGTTATAGCTAAATCATTACTCATGAGCCGATTTAAAATTCGCCTGGTTGTATCTGGCACATCTTTGCCACCAACAAATTGGAAATTATTACACTAAAAAACATTAGGAGCAGAACATTGAATGAAGTTGAAAGTATTCGAACACAGAAAAAATAAAATACAATTCAAGATACTCACTGCTTCAGCAAATTTCGAGTCCTCATTCAAGCTATTGTTGAACAGAATCAACTCATTAAATTCTTTAATTTGAGTAAACTCTATTGGGATTGGAACATTACTCTCACTTTTTCCTTTTGTCAGTCTGATGAGGTAGGATAAATCTTCTTTGTTGATTTGTAACTGCCTCAATATTTCTGTGATCAATGCTGAAAATACCATCAAATAATTTAATAAGATCTAACCATGTGAGCAGAATGATATATACTTTAAATCTCTTGGACTATAATAATGACAATAATGAAAAATATTTCAGAAATTGTAAAAAAGTTCACCTTTGTTTTCTTGACAGCTGATGCATGATCTGAGGCTACTTGATCCATCACTAGCCTGGCTGATCGAAGCTGCTTCACCTAGGGATTCTACATCATCCTCTAATTTAGATTTTGTAGTTGGTTTTGGAACTGTAATTTTTCGTTTGCTAACTGAAGTACCAATATCAACATTTGTGAGAGGTGTGAAAATTTGTTTCTTAGGCAGAGGTATGATTGGTACGTGATCATTGCTATCTTCACTAAACTGCTCATAATCCTTGTAAATTGGTTTTTTGGGGACCCGTTTCTGTTCATTTTCTGATTCAGTCTGAGATTCTACTTCCAGGTGCTGAAGTTTTTTACGTGCTCTGTAGAAATCATCTAAAATAGTAGAAAATACAAATGTTGTCATGGATGTTGAATATATGATTCTAGGGATGCATTGTTACTAACCAGTAGAATATTTCACCCTGATGGGACAGACTACACATTTATCTTCAATGAGAACCAGGTGACTCTGGATTGCCTTGTCCTTTATGATATCTGATTTGAAATATGCTGGCCAATGGCAATATAAACATCCATTTTTTTCAAATAACCATGAACTTGAAATAATTGACATTGTTACTGTCCCATTCTCATCGGTTTCTTCCGGGAACTCGACCACTAAATATTTACTTTGAAGAAAAAAAATCCATATGAATTCTTTAGGTAATTTTCAAATATGAAAACATGGAATTTCAATATATATGATCAGTGAAATGTTTCCACATGATCAGCTATAGGATAATACAAAGATTCATTAGTCACTGAATTTTGCTAAAAGGCAATTTATAAATATACTCAAAATGATACATAAAATTAGTGAAAGGAACTGTTTACATTATTAATCCACAAAAAACAAAGAATTCACTCATAATCTTGTCTGATATTGTTTCCAACACCACAAACATGAATTATAAATAGGGAGTATATTAATAAAATGAGGATTGAAATTCAAGTGCTCAAAATACTCAAAATATACAAAAAATAAGTGAAAATGATATATTTGAGGTTCATAAATTTGTATTGTATCAAAAACAAAAGAACTAAAATTATAAATGTGATATAATTATAATTACTGGTTCAGCTTTGGCACAATTAATTGATGAAGAATGAAAAAAAATGCAAATGTATATTCTTAGTGCTAAAAATGGACCTGTCTAAATTAATTCAAACACAATGATATAAAGGAGAAACAATATAATTTACTCCATGTTTCAGGATTATCCCTTTGAATTGAATATCGTCCACTCTGTAAACATGTTCAATAATTTCTTCATTGGCTTCATCAAAATTCAAAGATACCTCAAAAAGAAAAATGATGTCACTTTTTGTAGGATAATTCAGGAATGGTTTAATTTTTCTCAAGTGTGAACCCTTTATATAAACTTTATTTGAAGATTTAGATATTGAGGTAATGAATAATATTTCACCATTTTTCAAAAATGCACAATTATCACCAGTTTCGACAGAAAATACACAACTTTTGAAGATGATCTTCCTGAAATATGATATTTCAGTTGTAGATGTATTCAAGGGATTTCCTAAAAGTTGTATATGTTTATCATTGATGGCAGTTTTGGTAATCATTTCTCTACCTTCAAAAATTCTGTTCACAGCTTGTTGTAATGATTGATTTGCTTTTCTCAAGGAACGTTTTAAAAAGCCTAGGTAATTTTCAAAAATGAAACAATTCACTTCACCTAATGACCCAAACCTTTCAGCATCATCAGCAAGATGTATGAGTGAATGAACATTGTATACACAGAAATTTTTTCCATATATTTGTATTGCATTTTTTACAAATGTTGTCAAAAGAATTTTGGCATAGTCATTATATTCTGAATTAAGTCTTGAATTCACCAAGATGGTTATTCCAAATTTTAACAACATAAGATTGCAAAAACTATTTTTGGGTAAAATATCAATTAGGAGAGGAGAAATATACAGAAGAAACTGCCTATATTCAGTGGCTTTCCAATGCTCCAAATCTTTCAGTGATCTAGGCTTACGATTGAATTCAGCTGGCCAGAAATTTCTCAGGTTTTTTATTCTCTCCTCTAAAATATTATATTTGTCAATTTTGAATCGATTGAGCCTACTACCATCCCTCCACAAAAATAATAATTTTTTAACTACCCCTAGACAAACACCTCGACAAACACTATGCATATAATCATTAGGAAATTTGGAAACCATTCCTATGTTCAAATCAGCTAATGGAGAGGGGCCTTTATGATAATCACCATATTCTCCAGATAAAAACTCTTCATCAGATCTCAAATTCGCTCTTAGATTAGTGAATACAATTCTATGGCTGTCATATGTACCCCTGTCCAGACATTTGTCACACCCATAATATGCATTATGACCTTTGGTGTTTTTAATAAAACATCTAGCTGGGGTATCACAACAGAAAGACCTACATGATACATAATATATTATATGGTTCCCATGTACTAAACCATTAGTCAAATAATTTTTCAGCTCATTCAGAAATTGTTCAAGAAAATTGGATAAGGGAGGTTTAGTCGATCCAGAATATATTGCCACAGGAAATGGTGTTTCATTGGGATATTCTGCGATTTTACATAAAATTGGCCAAAATGCCTCTTTAGTACTTTTGTGAATTGGTAAACCATCTATATTGAAGTCAAGACTATAATTCATATTTCCATCATGATACTTTTCAAAAACTTTCAAAATTCCATCTTTTAGTCCAAAATAATAAAAAAGTCCTTGGCCCATTATAGACAAACAATTTCTAGATGGAGTTTTGAGCAAATGCCTGGCATCTATGGGTAGGTTTTCTAAATTTGGATTGGTATTCAACCATTTCAACAAGGGAGACAGAGCAGAATGGGTAATATTATATTGTAGGGCCCAAGTCTTTAAGAAATCTGTTGAACTAATATATTCAGTGTTTCTCTGTCTTAATGTATCCACAAATATATCATCATTACTCTCATCACTATCATCTGAACTCGAATCTGAACTAGAACAAAATGATGGGAGTACATTATCATTAGAAGTCAAGTTAGAAGTAGATGGAAACATTTCATCCTCATCATTAACAGATTGAAAAGAAACATTGTCATTTTCATTGTTTCTTGAACTACCAGGGAAACCGATAAGTGATGAAGATTGATCGTCATTGGCAATAGTGGCAATAGTGTTGACATCTATGTTGGAATCATTTTGGAAGGTGTTTGATTTGGGGCCACATTCAGGGTTGATATGTCTTTGTACTATTTGTTCAGTTTCTAGTGCTGACACGATATTGATGGCTATTTTCTTTGCCACACGGTTGATTTGACGTTTACTTTTTCGTTTCACAGATACATGAAAACTAAAAATCATAAATTATAAGTAGAAAACATGTTAGAATGACCTTAATGAAGTAGAATGGCGTCATAGGTATAATGGTTTTTAAATGTGTAGGTAGGTACTTACTTTTCTTCCATGATGTGCAAAATCCCGATTATACCACAGCTGAATTGAACACAAATCCACAAAAGCTTGAAATCTTGAATCACAACAACGAGACAACAGACAACAACAATATTCACATCAAACAATACACAATGGCGACCATTGGAATGTTGGAATGTATGCAACGAGAAAAGAACGATGTTTCGCTGAGGCTGAGACAGCGCATGCGTACAGGTGCCAATAGTGCCAACACAACAAAAATATTTCAACAGTGGTGCCAACCATACATAAGAAACGAGAGATTGACGGCATAACGCGGCAATAAAATTGAGGGCCGACATTTCCAAATAACAGGTCGGCCGATTGATTGTTGCGAAATAAAGGACCTTCAATACTATCGACCCTTCAAACCATTAACGCCTTTTCAATTCAAAAACGATGTTGGGCCATTGTTAGATTACCGCCGTCGTCATCTACCCGCCGTTTACGACTTTGGCCCGCCTTTCAACCGCCTATTCATGTTTGCTGGGATAGCTATCCCAGCGAGAAATTAATAAGTGTAACACTTATAAGAAATAAGCATTGATTTCTCTGTTTTTTTATTTCTCTCATCGATTTTAAAAATGAAAATATGCGTAAGTATTTTTTCAATATAGAGTGTGTACCTGCTAAAACTTGTCACATCCCTCCCTCCAAAGTCGTAGATGACATTGAGAATTGCCCAAAATTTTCAATTCGAGGTGGAACTCTTCCAACATAGACGTCATCATCATCAGATTTTTCAATAGGACTACTTATTACCTACTATTCTTGATTTTGACCACTAAAAATACGTACTTTTCATTCATAACAATGCATGGACTGGAGATGATGTTGAAATATGAATAGTTTCAAATTAATTTTTTTTTATTTTATTATTTATGGATCTCAGAAAAAAAGTGTATGCACAAGTATCTATATGTAATTGCTATCAATACACTCGCACACGATTTATATGACACTCGCATTCGGCTCGTATCGTTACCTCACTTCGTGGTCGAGTCAATAGCTATCATTATTTCATGATCGTTGCTCAAAGTACTATTTTGACATTATATCTATCCACAATGATACATGATTGATTTTCACTCAGTTTGGTCATTTTGCGTGATTTGTCAACTAAAGCGATACTTGGTATTTAAAATAGTAAATTCTTCGATAAACAAAAATCATGACGTCAACTTGTAATTATTGGCAAATAGCTGACATTACTTATAATATAAAGTAGGAACGTCATTATGCCATCCAGTATTATACTTCAATATATGACGCTATTAAGATAGGGAATATCTCGGAACTTGAGAGTATTAGAAAATCGTAGCTTCTTTCGATATTATGTTACTCAATTTTCTGATTCTGGTAACGTGACAACAGGTTCAAAACTATTAATGGAACAACCTGTATATTTTGGCTCTATTTTTCTCCCGATGAAACGATTCCAACAAACTATCACTCTTGTGGTCTAAAACGATTAATTTAAAAACTACAGGTACTTTAATGTATCCTCTGCCCCCAAAGTTTTATAACTACATCTAAAAGAGAGAAAGATAATTTTCTTACCCACCAAACACAATATAAGACTGCCAAAATATACAGGGTGACCCTGGCCACTGCTCGTTTCAGACGTTTGTCGCGTGATCGTCGTGGGACAAAGGATATTGAAGTACCTATCTGTAGTTCCTATTAAATTAATCGTTTACACCACAAGTATGGTAGTTTGTCGAAATTGTTTCATTGAGAGGAATATAGAGATGCCAACATATAATTTGCCCAATTTTGAGGACAAATTGCGTCAGGGAAGGCATGGACCAATGTGGACTTGAAAGAGACGTTAAGTTTATGATAAGTAGGTATGTAATTCCGAATAAATTATATGCCAACGTTTTTTCTGCAAGCGCCCAAGACAACATTCTGAATACTGATGAGGTATTTTTTATCATCATAAATAAGAAATTAACTTTCGTGGACGTTAGAATAAAAATCTCTATTCCAGCTTATATGACTATAAATTGAATCAAATGATTTGTATCAACTTTTTTGTAGAATGTCCGATTGGAACGAAGTCAGGATCATTAACAAGTGTGTTGAGGCTCACACCAGTAATTATCACGTGTTTCATAATGGTGGTGGTTTCAATGACTTGGGGTTTCTTAGATCCCACGTTAGAACCCTATTTGAGAAAGGTAACTATGATTTATTATAATTCACCTTGCCAGCAATAGAGCAATGTTGCAACATGTGAGAAATAATATTGAAAGTATATAGGTAGTAATATCCAATGTATGAACCAATGAATGAACGAAATCAAAATATCTATGGAGAATTCAGCTGATTTCTTGTTGTTGGGTGGAGATATGGAATTTAAAGAATTCGTGAAATTTGTGATGCAAGAAAAACTGTAGAATTTGTATATTGACTTCTAAGTTGGTTTGAAGTCTTGTTAGAACGTATGTAACTACTCGTAAGAGACGGCAACTCTGTAATATTTTCACGTTTCTGTATGGCGCATTGCCGAAAAATATGGATATCGCTGGAGATTTCTTGGCCATTTCAACAATATATACTGGACCCTTGATGATGATTTATTCTTCAGTTCAATTTTCCGATTCCTATTCATGAATCAACTGAGAGAAACAAAAACTGAACTATTCTGAAGAAGTTGTTATCAGTTCAATCGTTACAGAATACTGAACAACATTATAGTATTCCTTATTATATGTATTGGCGTGAAAACCCCAGTGCTATACAGCAGGATATTGGATAATAACCTACTGGTACATTAATTCGATATTGAATTAAGAACTTCTGCAACACAAAGTTATGTTGAAAATAAAATATTTTATGACGTCATAAGGCCTGTCTTTAGTGTTCCACTAGGGGCCGAGATATTTTTTATTGCTAAAACCTCAATAATCTTGAAAGCCATATTTTTTTGTATATATCCTACTGTTGCTCTGAGGCGAAGAAATGTTCGCTCCTTTATTGGATGAGTCAGATAATCACTAGAAAGAATAATATCGGGACTTGACTCGTTAATACTGAGACATTTTAAACTTTTATTATATTTATACCTACTTTTTCAAACAACAAACTTTTTTTACAGTTTGATTTGAGCCCAACTTATGTTGGGTTGATATTCCTATTGTGTTCAGCGATGTATGGGATATTCTGTCCCATCTGGGGATGGTGCACCGATAAAGTATATAATTACTGGTGGTTCATGATTGTTGGTCTATTCGGAAATTCCATAGTACTTCTGATTCTTGGACCATCACCCATACTGTACTTTTTAGACGGGTAAGTAGGTACTTATATCATCATTCAAGTTCGATAGAGATCCTCCGCTATACAGGGTGATCAAGTTTTTAAATGGATAGTGTACCTATATACAAAATCTCATTCAGTGATTTCTTGAAGAACTGAAAGAATGTATTTTCAGCTAATATTTATATACATTTTGTTCCGTATTATACACGTTCTCGTCTAATTTGCATGTACTACAAAATACATTTTCATTTACAGCTCACTCACGACAGTCATCGCAACTCTTTCAACTTTAGGCGTATTTGTGGCAATGGCTTTAATGCCTACGTATCAATATATCCTAGATACCGCTCTGTAAGTACTAATTTAGATTATTCTTTATTAATAATGAAAATCATTTGCTTCGCGTCGGGAGTCAAAACACAACTTCGAGCTAAAATCTAATACTGTTTCCCCTTGTATAATAAATAACTATTTGACCACTATATATATCAAAGATACGGTATAGTTATGCAGTGAATAATAGTTACTTATACATTAAGGTAGTAAAGGATATCAGTATTACCCAGGGACCAAGATTTATGGTCTTGTGATAATAATTTTTCTTTACAACAACAAATGGTATATATTAAATTTGCGAAACTTGCATCAGAATAGTGAATTCAGGTTTATTACAACAGAGGTGGACATGCCTTTATTGATCAATGGTTCATTGAATGACGAAAACTACCTTGGTAGTAAGAAAACACTTCACACCTCGAAAAGGAGTAAAGCATTATTTACCCCTTCAAAAGCTAGTGGTGAAAAAACATTATCATCATATTATTATCATTAATAATATTATGTGAAATTGCCATATAAATTTGATATGTCTGACATTTCAGAAGAGATTCAACGTGTTTGCTGAAATTTTAATTCCTATATAGCCAACTAAAATGTACAAAAATTCAATTCACCTACCTACACGAATCCCGTTGAAATATAGGTAAAGTGTTATCTACCAGGTCAGCATGGAAAATTTATTCAAACGTTTTTGTTTCATATTTTTTCATTGAACCGGTCAAGATATATTCCGTACAAATAGAAGAGCAGTTCTCATGGTATTTTGTCTGATCTTGCTGAATCTGATGAAAGTTTTCCAGAAAACTGATCACAAGGGAGACTTTTTTGATGTAACGTTAAAACTCGAATTTGTCCTGGGTCCGGATCTGGCATTCTTCTTCATAATATGCCATCTTGGATAGTTTCAATTGAGAAACGTCAGTAGCCAAATTTCAGGAGATTACGCGATGAATCATTTCTGAAATATCGGTCATCAAAGTTATATGGCAATTTCACATAATACCTACTTCGTTAAAGATGGCGCAAAAATCTCTCAATTATATGAATGGCATGTTGGTGTCATTTTTGATGTTTTATAGAACAATTGATCAACAGATAAGATGTTATAATATTCAAAGAGGATCTTGGAAGAATAATCGAAAGGTTGTTTGAAGATAATTTTCAAGGTATATTTTTGAATTGATATAAGTGGTAGACCTACTCCAGCCTATTATACCATAAGCCAGAATAGATTGAAAAATACTACACACACTGGCACAATTAGGGGAACGGGTAAAATTTACACTAAGTTTGACATCAATTTTCTCTCGAACCGATCACTCAATTCAAATTTGTTTTTCACGAATTGTAGCTTCATACTTCACGAATACATCTGAGAAATAACCACATCCAAAACGATTCGTCTTTATATCATATACAGGGGTGTAAAGAAAGTACGGATTTTTCGGTTTTCTTTAAGACATCCTGTGGAGTGAACCACTGATAATTGAAACCTTTTCTCAATACCAAATTGGAGCCCAATCTATTCCGAATATTTTCGTTTTTCATTCATCTTGATATCCCAATTATCCAAGAAAATATAGAGTTTCAAAGAAGAGGTAGATATTGGTATTAATTTTACCACCTCGAAATTCGAACTGGGGAGAACGTGTCGTTTTTCAACTTGTTTCTGTGAGGATTTTTACTCCAAGATGAGAATTGTTCACAGTTTCACCTATCGGTTTACTGTTTAAAGACACATATACGAATACTCTCATGAATATGCAGGGGTGATAAAAGTTGCTCCAATGTTCTTTTGGTGAAATGCTATTTTTGTTAATCAACGTTGGCTATTTTGTTAATGTCATTAATTATTGTCAAAGTCAAGCGATTCACAATTCATTAATTTGATTAATGAAAACTTCAACGTGAGAGATTTGACTCCTACTGATGTGGCGAAGGCTGTAGCATTAATTGAAAATGACCAGTGGGCCAATGTTCATTTAACATATGAGAGCCGCATATCTGCACCAATTCAATAGATGGCAGGAAAAGACTATATCGCCGAGGTGAACAAAATGAACAATTTGATTTTACTGCTTCTGTCTCCTATGGCAGAGGTTTAGTCATGGTTAGGTTAGGTTAGTCAAGAAACGACACATTTTCAGATCCAATTTGAGTTTTGAGGTGTAAAATTGATACCAATATCCACCTTTCCTTTGAAACTCTGTATTTTCTTGAATAATTGAGATATCAAGATGAATAATAAACGAAAATATTCGGAATAGATTGGGCTCCAATTTGATGTTGAGAAATCGTTTCAATTATCAGTGGTTCAGTCCACAGGATGTCTAAAGAAATACCGAAAAATCCGTACTTTCTTTACACCCCTGTATATGATGGAAAGACTCATCGTTTGAAGGTAATTATTTCTCAGATGTATTCGCGAAGAATGAAGCTACATTTCGTGAAGAAAAAAATTTGAATCGAGCGATCGGTTCGAAAGAAAATTGATGTCAAACTTAGTGTAAATTTTGCTCGTTCCCCTAATTGTGCCAGTGTCGTGTGTATAATAGAAACTGGTAATCAATTTCCGAATAATATACTATTTCTTAGGGGACCGTTCCACTCCACCCTGAATGCATTTTTCATTACAGAGGATATGGTTATGCAGATGACCTGATGACCCACTCCGTGATCGCTGGCCTTTGGTCGTCCGTATTCTCCCTGGGAGAAATCCTAGGCCCCATGATTGGAGGAACTTTGATGCAGCACTACAAGTTCCCTATTGCATGCACCTTTTTCGCTGCCCTGAATTTATTCATGGGTATCCTGTGTTCGGTGTACTTTTGGTATTCGAATAAATCGACTGTGATCAATCTAGAAGTAATCAAGAATGGCGTCAAGAAATTATCCGTCAGCAAAAAGAAAGAGAGCAGTAGCAGCAATGCTCAGAACACGACCAGCGTTGAGAAGAGTGATGAACCCTCCATTGAGAAGTAACAGATAAATAAGATTATTTAACGAAATTCAGTGTCCGCAGCCTTTGGTAACTCTGTCATTATTGAAGATACAAAATCAACCAAAAACTATATTAGTACTTTTGACTACAAAAAAGTTTCTTCAAGCTCTCCATGCTTTTTCAAACAAACCTTACCTTGAAGATGTAAAGATAAACATATAATAGCCAGAGGGATTTCAATTGATGTGAAATATAAAATGAATTATTATCTTCGTAATTCAAACTCTGAAACGCGATGCTTAATTGTTCGTTTCATTCTCCCATCATCTGCGGGCGTTAAAAATGGACAATCAATTCAATCCTATGAAAAATCAACTTTCATGAAATTTGTTGCTGAATCTGAATAAGTTCGTTCATTATTGGTCGAACTAGAAAGATAATAAAATGTAGTTCAATGAAACCTCTGCAAGAAAAAATATTACTTCACAAAAATTCATTCATGTTCACAGACAAATTATCGTGAAATTGAATATTTACGTACAGTTTTGTCCAGTTGCTTATTCGAATTCTGAATACTATAGTATGTTCCTATATAGGGTGTTGCGAAATTCGACAGACAACGCTTGACAGGTGATAGCATTCGTGATTTCATAATCACTGAGATAGGGACATATACGGTCTTCAAATGTTCAGTTCTCGAGATACAGGGCGTTAAAGATGAGAAATAAAACTAGTTGTTTCGCAATATCTCAAGGAAAATCGAATGTAATGCATTCAACTTCGGTATATGGTTTCATCTTTGAATGGGTCATTTTTTGAACACAAAGCTATTCCGGACATTTTACCCAGTGGTGCCCTGCAAGGGGATGTGGCAACTTTTCCTCCCATATTTTCTACGCCACTGATTGAATTTCAATTATTTCCAATACCTCAAATGCATTGTTCAATTTTGCTCAAATATTGCATCTTCTTCAACTGAGCTGAAATGAACAGTTTTCGAGATATTCGATCCAAAATAGAAGATTGCATAGTAATATATTTCATCATTTTCAGTTGTAGAAAATTGCAAAAATATTTTTCTGGTGTTGAGTAGATTAGATACTATTCAGATCTCATTCTGTAGCTGAACAGAAATAGTTATTCCACGCATAAAGAGAAAACAAAAATTTTTTTAATCTTCTCTACTACTGAAGAAGATGAAAAATTACTATGCAAATTTCTAATTTGGGTCAAATATCTCGATAACTGTTCATTTCAGCTCAGTTGAAGGTGATGCAGTTTTTCAACATAATTGAACAATCAATTCAAGAAATTGGAGATAATCGAAATTCCATCAGTGGCGTAGAAAATATGGGAGGAAAAGTTATCACAACCATATCTGTGGATAAAATTCTCAGAATGTCTTTCTGGATGAAACCATATACCGAATATGAATGCATTATATCCAATTTTTTTTAGATATTGCGAAAAAAACATTTCAATTTCTTAACTTCAACGCCCTGTATCTCGAGAACTGAACACTTGAAGTGATTATGAAATCACGAGGGTTATCACCTGTCAAGCGTTGTCGGTCGAATTTCACAACACCCTGTATTATATACCTATCTACAAAATGAATGTGGGTATGATTTTATAAAAATTTCAGTTCTGTCCAGAATATATGTCTTTTAAACATTTTTAGCATTACAATTATTATCGAAATCTTGAAGTGAAGGATGTGAAACAACTATAGGAATTGCTCAATTCGTATAGCCAGTCGATAATTATTCACCTTTTTTTTTTAATATCCATCATAAAACTGAGAAGCGAGAAACGATGTACTAGTATATTATCCGAAATTAATATTATGTATCATTGTTGATCTGTAGTTTAGTTATTAGATATCATTTGTTCCGTTATTGTTTCATTTTGACCTATGAATTATTGTGGAAGATAAGATGCAAACAATAATAATTATATATTAATTGTAGTTACACTACGTCAGACGATAATTATAGAATTGCCTCTATTGAATAGCAAGAAAGATTATCCATATCATTCAGTTATTTTTATTTATTGTGGTATTATTATTCATTACCAGGTATTTCACTTCCATCCAATTATTTCGAGACATCGCCAATATTTGTAGAGAAGATGTATAGGTAGGTATATTCAAATATTAATCCTGATTATTAATATATGTGATAATTATAGAATTTTTTTACTCGAGGGTATTTTAATAAACAATGAAATTCAATGTCATCATTGTTTACTTCGTATTCTCCATGATTGTACATTCGAAGATCTTGAATAGACCTATTTAATTATTATGAAGAAACTGAATTCCAATATAATCTGTTCTTTATTCCCCTATTCGAATAAGATGTTTTCTTACCAAGAAGGAAAAAAGAATATGATGAAGCTGGATGCAGTTGTATGGCATTATAACTGCCCTTATCAGGAGTTCCATCGGGCCATTTGATTTTTCCTGATGGATAACACCCTGTTTTTTATATTTTTTCCGATATCTATTATGTGTTCTATTTGTGATCTTAAAAATATCTGAATATCAATACAATATGTTATCTTCTATTCCCTGAAGCTCTCAACTTTCGAGCTATATGCGGTGTTAAAATTTGAAGAAAAAAAATCGTTTCCTTATCATAACTTCAAAACTGTTCTAGATGTGGTAGTTTGTAGTAGAAATGTGTTTCTGTCTGATTTGCGTTCAAGTCAAGCAATCGATTAAATTAGCCTAATAGTTATTTATTATGCAAGGGACAAAAGTTGTAAATTCTAGATCCAGGTTGTGTCCCGATGCGTAGCGGAAGGAGACAAAAACCGTGAGCTAAAATCTAATATTTTTCCCGCGAGTATAATACAGGAAAAAGGACGATATTAAATAAATCAGAAAATTATTATCGACGTGGAATTTGAAGTTTTTAATAGGAATGACTCGACCATTTTTTGTAGGCATCTTTATACAGGGTGATTCACATAACAACCGACATAGGGCAGGGGCATGTAGGGGGTCCCAAAATATGGCAATTTAACGCAACTTACCTCTATACCAAGTTGCTTCCCTAAGGAGTTATAGACATACTAACAGCATGTCAACCTGCTCGTTAAAAAAAAACTTCCCGTTCATTTTAAAAACACTCGAACAACAATTACTTAATTGAACAGCTCACTTGCCTCATTGTCAAGTTTGACGTTTATTTTCATAGCCAACTTTTGAATTTCGATGATATTAAATAACACACCTAGAGCGCGCGTTTTCAGTTAATCGAGTTTTTGATGAAAATGATGAGGTTTTTCGAAAAATTACTAGAGTAAGAAAAGTTTTAGAATTGAATTGCCCACAAAACAAAGCGAAGATTTTTGAAATCCATCAAGGGTTAACAAAATTAAGTTGAATATTAATGGTGCGCCAACCGGTATACCCCCTTTACAAATTTCAATTGAACTCTAGTTCCTGCCAAGTAACGCCCTAAATACATCCACAAAGTGTACCAAATTTGATTACTTTAAGTTCAAGAATAACGGAGATATTGATTTTTTTCAAAATTTATAACTTCACTTTCAAAGCCTTTATCTCCTTAGGGAAGCAACTTGGTATAGAGGTAAGTTGCGTTAAATTGCCATATTTTGAGACCCCCTACATGCCCCTGCTCTATGTCGGTTCTTATGAGAATCACCCTGTATATCTTTATCATTCTTCTGAAGTAATCAAATATCTGTCAGTCTAATTCTGTGATTTGATTTTGAGAAATTGCAAAAGTGGTTGTTTAGTGATTTACCTATGGCCACTATAGATAGTAGGCAAGAACACACGAGATACAGTTTAGTAAGTAGCTCTTTACGCACAGTAAACACATCGCATAGTTTTCGTTCATTCCGCTAGTATAGGTACCTATGTCATGATCGCGTAATCGCCGTCAACAGCGGATGACAAAACTGTCAAGAATTATAATTCAGACTGTTTGTCCAAACTTTTTCGATGTACTATATGGCAGTAGGTAAAGTATAGTACGTAATGCGTGTTGTAAAGCAATTACGCACTCATGGAATTACGCACTCGCCTCTCCGCGGCTACGTGCGTAACTTTTCAATATGTGCGTAAAATGCTTCTTACAACACCGTAACCGCGAAATCGTATGGAAAATAAAAAGATTTACAGTTCTTTCTCGGAGACGGTGTTATTGGCGAGAAGAGAAAATTTTACCTGAAAATGCTACTCCTATCAAAATACAAAAAATGTAACCGTTCTCGAGACATTTGAGTTTTTGTAGTGACACATGATACCAGCAGGTGAATTCATCAGTAACAATATTTTAGTAGGCCTCCAACTTCTTGGAAGGCCACCATTTATATTCTTTCGTTTTGAAACATTATTTTTCAAGCAATCTTTGCACAATTCTAAAAATTGTCCTAGAATTTTGAACTCGTCAAGCGGGAATCATATCTGTATCACGAATAACCTGCAATTTCCTAAAATCCCAGTTGAAAATCGTATTGATAATATATAACGAAGCAAAAAAACCAAACGAAGAAATCAACAATAACAATATGTTGATGTCATAAACAAATTTGCTGATGTATCATGTGACTACAAAAACTCAAATATCTTGAAAGCTGTTGAATTTCCCGTATTTTGATAGGAGTACCTTTTTTATATAATTTCATGCACTTTATCAAATGTTTCTGTTTTTCTCCAGAAATCTTCCAGGGAAAAAAGTTGTCTTCAAAAAATCATGACTCACGACGACCCTCTGAAAACACCCTTAATAACTATAGCACAAATGTAGAAGTGTATCAGAAATAGTTATTTATTATACAAGGGAAAAAAGTAGTAGATTTTAGCTCCTTGTGTTGTCTCCCGACGCGTAGCGGAGGGAGACAAAAAACCGTGAGCTAAAATCTGATATTTTTCCCGTGTTTAATACACTATTTTTTTCTGTGACAGAAGGAAGGACGAATCAATATTGAGAAGATATTACATTATTTCGAAATCTGAAAATTATCGACGTGAAATTTCAAGTTTTTAACAGTAGGGACACCTGCGTTTTATAGGCATCTTTATCATTCTTTTGAAGTAATCAAATATCTGATGTCACTTCTGTCAGTTCAATTCTGTGATTTGATTTTAAAAAATTGCGAATTCAGTAGTTGTTTAGTAATATACGAAACCGCGAAGTCGAATGGAAGATAAAAGGACTTGCAGTTCTTTCTCGGAGACGGTATTATTGACTCATTTTTCGGAACTATAGCACAACAGAAGCCATTAACAGAGTATATATATGTGATATATATCCGGGAAAAAAGTACTCACTTTTTTCCCACGGGAAAAAAGTCATTCATGAAAAGTGAAATTTTATAACCTGCCAAAACAGAGATGAAATGCCAAACTTTTTTCCCGTCACAGAAAAAAATGTATTTTATCAACATACATTCATGCAGGAAATTACAGTTTGGTGGCTTATTTACCGTTGGCATTTTACCAGTGGCGTCCATACTGGATGAATATACTAGAGATTTTTCTGAAAAAATATTCTACGCCCTCGCTCTTTTCCAGAATAAAAATCATTTTTGGAATCCTCATTCATTTCATAGCTATTTTACCCCGAGATTTTTTCTGTCCGACGCATCATTTTCGCGTAAAAAAATAATAAAAACCATTCTCATACATATTGTGGTATAATGAAATTATTTCGAACTAGTAGGCAAGTGCCCTATTCTCTATTTAAAATAATGACATTTGATCGACTACGATGCGATCTCATTTTGACAATAAGTAAGTGTCTGAGATGTAGTGTCCATAAACGTGAAAGTTTTTCACATCGTGAAAGAATCTTCAATCAATAATAAATTAGAGAAAATAAAATGTTAACACCCTAAAGCTCGAAATATAAGAGAATTAGGTCATATATTCATATAAATTTTCCTCTTTTTTAAATGAGGTAAGAAACCATATCCTATATTTTTATTCATTAATTAAATTACACTCAGTATAATCTCGCAGGTATCGCGTGTCGCATGCACAGTATTCCGTTGGGAGCCAGAATGATGAATGTAGTAAGTGGAAGCTGTGAGGAGGCTCTCATGTGCATTTTGGCAACATTGTCTGTCGAAGTCAAACTATTCAAAGTACTCTGTAATGTAGTTACTACCAGATACTTGGGAAATGATAATTATTCATGGGACTGGCTACTGCACGGTCCGACCGTTCACTAATTTAGCGTTCGGGGCCGGTCCGACCGTACAATAACATTTTGTTCGGGGCCGGTCCGACCGTACAATAACATTTTGTTGGGGGCCGGTCCGACCGTACAATAACATTTTGTTCTTCTAGAAGGAGAATTCTTGAGGAAGGAAAATATTGTGCCTGCATAAAAAATGAGAAAACCTAACCTATCTATTTTATGAGTATATCTGTACTTGTTTCGTTGACCTGTGTAAAACTTAATGTTTATTAACACCAAATAAAATATTCTATTCTATTCTAACCTAACCTAACCGAACCTCACCTCTGGCCTAAACATAGAAAACCCCTAAATGAACCTATTTCCCATAGAGAATATTTTTTAGAAATCACTTGAGAACAAGAAAAAAATAAAAAAAAGATGAACCTCGCACGGATTCGAACCCCGGCCCACCGGCTTGGCATGCCGATGCTCTGCTTACTGAGCCAACCAGTTGCTTACGAGACGAAGTATGCTGCCTGGCCAAGACGAGTGTCGAAGTATTCGGACCGGCCCCCAACAAAATGTTATTGTACGGTCGGACCGGCCCCGAACAAAATGTTATTGTACGGTCGGACCGGCCCCGAACGCTAAATTAGTGAACGGTCGGACCGTGCAGTAGCCAGTATCATTATTCATTGATCATTATTCGATGTATGTGACTCGGTGATATAAATTTATCGTCAAGATCCATGATTCGAATTTACCGTCAAGGCCAACATCGACCTGATTGGTCTATCACTGGTCACCACAGAACTAAACGAACAGTTCCAGTGTGGCCAACTGTTGCGGCATTCCGTTACGCATAGACCGAAGACCGCATAGTAGGATCACAGACGAACAAACCTTTGTTAATCTGTGGTAGAATTTAGGGTCCCTTGATGGAAATTAGTGAAAATTCTGAAACAGTTTTTTTTATCATGAGTATTATGAGCTCTCAGCTGTCGTGAAGCCAGCGACATCCATATAATGACAGTTTGAACTCCCTCTTTGAACGCAGAATCGGCACAGTGACGTGCCAGGACTGCAAAGCAAGTTGTCGTAGGTATGGGGGTTCCCCAATTTTTTTTGAATAATGGGAACAAAACAAGTCAACGTACAACGTGTGAGAGAGTATCGTATCATTCGTATCCAGGAGCTAGGTACATATACGCCCTGTATAGTGTTTTTAGATTAATGAGTGTTGATCTATTGATGACACACGGGGTTATGTAAAAGGTGACGGGTATTTTGGGTAGAATTTATCGATGTATGAGTAATATTAAAAGTAGTTAAGAAGTAGCCGTGATACGGCTAGGTTGTATCTGATACCTATTGTGAATATAGTGGAAATCGTGGAGTATCCAGAGTGTTTTATTTTAATAACCGTCCACCAAGCTAACAAACGTATGTTGTCCTAGATAACGTTTTGGTGGGAGTGTGCAGTATAAGGCTTGTAAATGATCAATATACGTACATGCAGCCAAGCAGCAAACATATCTGGATCTATTAAGAATATTCAAGGATTTTATTTTACTCTGTTCATATTTATATTTTATGTTCACAAAATTAAAATCCATGTTTTGCTGTGAAATTATTTTTGTTTTTTAACATCGAATGACAATCGGTATCTAAATTGTAAGTCCAAAATAGACTGCAGTGGGACTCTGTAACTCAAAGCGAAAGCGAAAGCATGCGTAATCGACTGCTTTTGCCGTTTCGGTACTCTGTATCAATATTCGGATGAGGTCGGAGACGCCGAACGTGAGTTCGTAAGCGAACATAAGCGAAGGATTTTGGTTGCCGCTTTCTGCGATTCTCAACGATTGAGGTTATAGGTATTGGTTTTTGTTGTTGTTCCTAGTTCAAACTTTGTGTTGATTTGAGAAAAATAATAGATTGATAAATGACGAATGAACCCAAACATGGATAACAAAGCGAGCAAAAACAGAACTTCAGTCAGTGGGACAGATTCCTCAGTTTTACGAACAAAGTCCTAAAGATATTCCAGAGAGATGAAAGTTCCCTTTGGTAGGATTAAGGTAGGGGATGAAAGAACGTGAGACGTGAGATAAAAAATATGATAGACAGTGTGATGAAAACATACAGTTCATTTGGTAGTTGAAAAATAAACTGAAAACTGTCATTAGTGCTGTTGAATAGGGTCTGGAATAATTCATATTCATTCGAATTATCCTTCTCTTTTAGATTCCTGATACATCAAAACAGGCAGATATAAGTAGCTTCTCCAAAAAATGAAATGTGCCATTACTGAATGTTGTCTCACTTAATCCTTGTTAAGAAAAATATGTCTTTGGTGTGAGTCCATTGAAGAAGACAATAATAGGTAATTGAAGAATCCTACTAATATAATATGCCGATACCTACAACAGTGAAACATAACAGAAAGCCTGGAACGTTCAAATTTGAAAAATTTGCATAATAAGTGCATTGGAAGGAAAAATAATTTGGATAGCAAAAACCTTGGAGACACCCAAGAAGAACTGTGTAATATTACTGTGTACCAATAAGGGAGAATCAAGAGTAAATTCCATGAAACAGGATTAACTGAACATTATTTACTATGTTGAACAAGAACAAGAACGGATTCTACTTTCACTACATTAATAATTCCATCCAAGATTCTAAAGTGAACTGTAAGAAAAAGTGCATCTGTATAAATGCACTGTCAACATATAGCTGCCTTGCAGAAGGCAATTCAAGGAATTATATGTGCTTATCATCTTGTTTAATTTGCGACATAGAGAAGCAAGTTCTGATAGGTATTACATTATAGTATGTGAATAATAATATACTGAGTGTTAGATTATAGAATGATATGTCCATTATAAATATAAGCAGTTACATATCTTACAATATTATTGTTATTCTCAGATCATTTGCCTTTACTAGTTGCATATAAATAGAAAGCTATACCTGAGATATACCTAGTGAGAATATAAATACCAATTTTTTATAAAGTAAGGTACATATTTTCCAATGAGCTGCAAGTGCTTTATTTCTGATTGAAACCAAAAATTGACAATACAATAATTCGTAAATGCCGCTTTTTTGATCCAATGGGATGTTTCCTTTGAATAAATGGGATCCGCAACACTGTTGCCAAATTTAACTCCACCAACTTCGTTCTATTTCGTACGAAATCGTATGACGATAGCGAAAGCATAACGAATTACATATAGAGTACCGGAAAGCGAAGTCGTATACTTCGCTTCGTTTCGCTTTCGCTACGCTTTCGCTATGCGACACAAGTTACAGAGTCCCACTGCAGGTGTGTATCGAAAATAAAAAAGGCACGACCGTGGCGCGGCGTAGCGGAATTTTTGTGGTGACGTAGCGACATTCGTAATTTTCTGGTTGGTCGCGGATGGTCCATCGTGGCGGCAACACTGGACTGTGGTACGAACTGTCAAACTGAAGAGGTTAGGGTGAAGTTGAGTTTTTTGCTCAGAGATTTTTGTTTCACATAAATAAATGGTTTTCTAGAATAATATGCAATAAAATATTATTTGGCAAGTGCATGAAGATTGAAGTGCGTCTTCATATTATTATAGCATTAAGAAACAGCAGAGACGTAACTTTTCGGCGTCATTTTTAGGTTATGCTTGTTCTATCAAAATATTTTTCAGAATGAATATATTCAATATTATTTTGATTGTATCACTTTATGTGAATAATTTAAATTTTATTGAGGCCAAAACCAAGAAAACAAAATCTGTTACTACCCTACTTGAAGCAAAATGGGATGCTACACCTTTAGTTTTGGAAGTTGCAGAATATTTAGCAGACGAAAATGTGGATTTCTATTGGAAATTCATAGATTCAATAAGTTCTATGACTCCACCCCTAGAGTCTATAGGTGACATATTATTAATTTTGCTGAAACTCTCATTCATGCTGACTTTTTCACAGGTAATGATAGACAACGCTACAATGCTGCTATTGAAGTTGCATCAAAACTTGTGACAATGTCTCAACTATCATTATTGAAGTTAGGTATATCTCTGCATATAAATTCTCCAAAAGTTCAAATGTTTGGCCAGATAGCTAAAGAGAGAAGACTTCCTTCCTGTCCTGCAGTTGCTGATGTAGGAGGTGAATTGACTTGTGATTTGAGAGAATTGGAGATTTTACTCAAAAAAGTAAGTTGATTACATTCAAAGTTTTGATTAAATGTGTTTGATGAACCATCTATTGCATAAATTCATTTATTTTCACTATTAGTTAGGAAATAATCATTTATCCTATTTGTTCCATGATGTAAGAAATAAATAGGAATTATGAATCAGTTCTCTCTATCAAAAAATGACCAGCTGAATATATCTGAATTTTATCCAAATCAAAGTGAGAAAAAAGAATTGGTTCATTCATAATTATGGAAAGAATCAAGGAGAGAATTCAAAGATGACTGTTGTGTATTGAAGCAACTCTGGAGTCTGGATATTCTACAAGAGATAAACTTTTGCAAGTACTTTGCATAATTCCTGAGATAATTCCCTTGGTACTGTCCACCCTTCTTGATCTCTGAATCAGATGAATTACATCTATATTCAGAAGTTCTTGTGAAAACTGAGAGCACTCATGGGTGACACAGGATATTGAGATTCTTTGGAACTACATTATATTCACAAATATTCCCATAAAAATGATACCTACATCAACAAGAAGCTAGAGAAGAAAGTATTCTTGAAACATAATATTCTAGGTGTTACAATTTTGACTACATTAAGATGTGGTGCTTCACTGCTTCAGCCAACCATGTTTTTTCAACAAAAGCCATTTCAGAATGGACAACTGCTGATAGTACAACAAGGAGAGCATGATTTTTAATAGTGTCAGTAAGATATTGACATATCTGTCTGGTCTGCAATGTTTTCTGTTCTGTTAATTTTGACATGTGTACAGTACTGAGGGGATAGTTGAATTAGACCTTTGTTATGATTTGTCCAAAACTAATCATCTTCCAGTAACAATAACTGTTTACCCAAGCTCAGAAATTTCAAATAGTGATTTTACATCCATAGAATATTTTGGACCCATAGCCAGAAAAATAATTGTCTGATTCATTATGAGTTACATTCATACCTGTGTATTTTCAGTGCATTATTTTCCCAAGCAGGCACACACATAAATTCATAAATTTTAGGAGTAGGTATCTATTCCAATGTCCAGGCATGTATTACACATAGACATACAGGATAATGGTACCAGAGATAGGGTATATAATATGGGTATTAGGGCCATATGTTTTAACTGGCTGAACAATTACTTATTGATTAGAAAACAATGTGTATATCTGAATAGTGGTACTAGCTCAAGCAAAATTGTATCTTGTGGGGTTCCACAAGGCTCAATTCTGGGCCCTACTCTATTTTTTATTTATGTAAACTCAATGGCTAATTTAGATCTGAAGGGAAGGATAAAATTGTATGCAGATGACTCATTATAATTTTATTTTGGGGACACAAAGGAGTCCATAAGAGAATCTATTGAACATGATTTAAAATTAATAGCAAACTGTTTAATAACACAAGCTAACTCTCAATACATATAAATATAGTTATATGTTATATTCTGAAACCACCAAGTATATCAGTATCTATATCATGGATTTCTCCCCACTGATTCTGGATATAGAGATAGTGTAAGCTCATTGTGATATACCCTGTATACTGTATTATTCCTACCAAGCAGAGAAGCCTCTGTGGAATCATTGTACTTTTTTGGCTCGACAGATAAAAAGGAAAATAGGTCAAAAGAAAAAAAAAAGGGCATGGTTCTAAAACTCGTTGCTAAGAGTTACAGCCTCTTAAAGAGATTGGGCTGATGATTTTAATTATTATTTCCGAAACAGTTTGAGATGAAATAACAATATGTTGCTCACTTTTTATGCTGAATTTAAAAATGTGAATGGAATTCAATTTTTTGAGGAGTATACACTGGAGTGTATTTTATACAGATTCGGCTCAGAGTACTTCCAGTGCACACTTTTTTGTTGAAGAATTTTCAAGGGGTCCAATTTTTTTCTCGGAAACGAATCAAGATAGGAACACAATTCCAGAGACAACAACGTTTTATTTGTAACAGCTCAATACACAATACGATCTAAACTTGCAAAAATCAGTCGCATACAATTATTTTCAGCATAAATATAAATTTGAATGACCTCTGGGACGCCACTGAAATTAATAATGTCATCCCAACTTCATCGGGAAAACAAACTCCAAACATAACGCAAATTGACAGTCATATGCCCGAGATCAGGGTTGGCACGAATTAATTCATATGAATTAAGTCAGTGATTTAATTCGTGAATTAATTCAAATGACTTTTTTCAAATAAGTCGTGAATTAATTCAAAATTTATCAAATGGTAACAAATCGCATCATTACCTTCAATTTAAACTAGTTTAAAATGAAATATCCGATGACAACTGACAACCGTGAAGCACCACACGCGGAAAACAAAATTTTCTAAGAGCCGCTTTACAGTTTACAATATTTCATTGCATGCAATTGATTGCTTTTCAACACTGAATCGGAATTACCGGGTTGCAATGTCTTTTTGTCATAGATTCTGTGTATTACTTCTCACCGAGTTTTGAGTTGGGTCAAGAGTTGGGTAGAAGAAACCATGAGAAAGGCAAGAAAAGTAAGATCCAATGTGTATCTAATAATGCGTGAAATTCCGAAAGTCTAAAATGTCACCACTAGAATTGCACCAGTAATACAAATTATCACAATATAAATAAATATGTCCGGACTCATTTCTTGCAATGCATCGAAAAATTGCTTTTCAAGGTGACACCAATCCGTAGGCTGCCATGGATATTGCTGCATTTTATTGAAAATAACTCTAAAGCGCCTCTATAATGAAGATTGTGAATGAGTAATATAATTTGCATAAACATCATTTTTCATTCAATCAATAGTCTCAGTTTATATTGCAAAAATTGCATATTTTAAGTATTTTATTGTCACGCTTAGAGTCCGAATTAATTCAAAAAGTCAGACTTTTCTGACTTTTTTATGAAACTCATGACTTGTTCCAACCCTGCCCGAGATCACCTTTCGCCAACGTACTATAAGAAAGATTTTATTGGGTCTCAACACCAACAAAGCTGGTGGCTCCGATGGAATCGCACCGATTGTTCTCAAGAAATGTGCACCCGAACTACTAACACCTGTTCTCTGCAAGTTGTTCAACTACTTTTACGAATTGGAGATATTCCCGTCCAACTGGAATATTGCAAGAGTACAAACAGTGCTATCTATTATTTCAAAGATCATGGAGGAACCTATCAACATCGAGCTCATGAAATACCTGGAACATTCAGGTATTATTAACGATAGGCAATATGGCTTCCGTCATCAGAGATCAACTGGTGACCTGCTCGCTTACGTCTCACATATATGGCATCAATCTATTGAAAAATATGGTTATACCTTAGCCATGGCACTTGATATCTCCAAGGCATTCGATCGAGTCTGGCAGCACCAAGCTTCTCAAACAGGTCTCTTCATGTAGTGGTCGACGGAGTTTCATCTGACTCTCTTATCATAAATGCTGGTGTTCCGCAAGGATCAATTCTAGCATCAACACAATTTCTAAATAATTCTAAAATTGTTCTATCCGTCATTCGGTTGCCCCCTTACGAGCAACCCTCAGAAGTTTTCGAGAGTCTTGTGCGAGCAAGGAATGACAGGGGCCTTACCTTTCAACGTGTGATCCCAAATACTTTCTTGGGCCATCAGAAAAATGTCTGCAGTCGATGGGAATCGAACCCACGACCGGCAAGCGAATGTGGATTAGAATATTGACACTCTGTCCGCACGGCTACCTGGCCCATTTCTACTCCATATCAACGATTTGTTGGAAACAACTTCATGTCCAGTACACAGCTTCGCTCGATACCTCCTTCTCTTCTAGGGCTCCAATACCAGCCAGGCAAATCAGAAACGCACGAGGGAGGAATGTTGACAACATAAATATGGACTTGGCAACAATTCTCGAATGGGGATCCAATAACTTGGTAGATTTCAATGCCAACAAAACACACAGCATGCCTTTTCTCTATAAAAGTCGATCTCACTGTGCCCAACATAAGTTTGTCAGGAGTAACCATACCTTTGAAGACATCCATTTCGATGCTTGGTATTACTATCAGCAATAACCTTTCTTGGTTGCATCCCAAAAACTTGGTTCTCTGTTTCGGGCCAGGAGCTATTTCACTTCCAGTCAGCTGCTTATGATCTATAAGGCACAGATCCGACCTATCCTGGAATACTGTTTCCATATTTGGATTGCAGCACCCAAACATACCCTGAAACTGTTGGATTCTGTCCAAAAAAGGGCAATTCGTCTCGTGGGTGATGCCTCGCTCACAAACTCACTCACTACTCTGGAACACCGTAGAAAAGTTGTTGATCTGGCCCTATTTTATAGATATTTTCATGGACGATGCTCTTCTGAAATATCAACAATTGTTTCTTTCTTGGCAGTCCCCGCGAGATCAACCCGTCGAGTTGAGGCTTCGCACCCCTTCGTGGTCACTTTGGAGACCTGTAGAACATCTCTTCCCAAAGACTCGTTCGTCCAACGAACAGCGTGGCTCTGGAACACATTGCCAAAGGAGGTGTTTCCCGAGGCATATAACCTCAAGAAATCTAAGAAGAACACCAATTCCTACCTTCTTTCCCTTGGTTCTAACGATGTTCTCAGAACATTACAGGATATCCCTTTTCGTGGGAACCAGAACATATGTATAAATCCTTTATTCTTATTACATATCTCAGTAACAGGAGTGGTCCCCAATCGGCCTCGGTTAGCCGGTCGCGGGATCATAGACAAGTAAATTGACGTTTACATGTGTAATTTGTGATACAATATTAATGACGTTAATGTTGAATACTATTGTTACAGTTCGTTCATTAACTTAGTTGAATCTTATGTTACAATCATAAACTTTACTGAGCCCATCTACTGACATATGATAACAATAGGATTACATTTGCTATGAACGCCATTGCTACCGCAAATTAGCATGACATGTTTTATCAAAATCAACGAAAAGGATTTTGAATAATTGATGAAAAACTTTTTTTTTTCTCAGAAATAAAAAAAACTTCTCATTGCTACATGGAAAATTGACTCTGAAAGTTTGTTGGTTGAACAACAGCCTTCTTCAAAGAGGGAAGCCGCGGTGAGATAAATGCAACACCGCATCTACCGCTAACCGCGCTAACGTTACATCAATTTCTGTCTTTGAAATAGATAATTGAACTTTGATGAAAAAAATAACAAGAAATGATGGGTCAGATCACAGTTTCTTAGATAAAATAAACAACAGGCAAGTCCCATTTCACCTCGCATTTTACATCAACCAAACAAGTTATTGCTTGGGTAAAATGAAAAAATCCTAATGAGTTCATAAACAGAATGAGAAGTGGTGTATAACCTAAAAGACATGCTTATTGTAGAAGAAAATCTATTTTTTTCAATGTGTACTTGGTCAATCAAAATTTCAAGATTCTTTGAATGAGGTACATACCTATTTTCACAAGATACTATGAGGGCTTTTTTCAGATATATCAAACTTTTCTCTATCAAGTCATCAAATGAGCTAATTTTATGTTCTTTGGTCTGATTCTGAAGTTGTGACCACCTGTTCAATTCCATATCATAGGGAAGAATCCATTTTAAATCATTGAATCCCAACATATTATCACCTAGTAAAACTTGAACCTGCATCTCAATCGATCTCATTCAATACTACAACTTGGGAAGTTATTTTCAATACATCTGACTGTGAACCTAATTGATAAAAATAAATTTTACTTTCTGTCTTAGACTTTCCAATCCCAACAACTATCAATATTCGATTTCTCTGCATATTCTAAAACTACCTTCTCATAATTGAGAATAAGGAATAAGATTTCTCAAAATCAACTATTTTTTTATTTTCAACAGCTGAACATTTCTGTCGTCTTTCATCAGGATTTGTTCAGACTGGGCTCACCGCGACTTATTATACAGGGGGCTGTGGTTTAACTTTTACTGGATTTATTGGGATGTTCGAGAAGAATCTGGAATGCATGATACTGGAAGATTATTGTAGTCTTGCCTCAATACATTAAACATATTCTCAAACGATCTCTCTATATTAGTATACATTTTCTATTGTCTTAATTTTGAATAGCTGATGGATATTCTATTATGAATGTCCTATGGATATCTAAATTTGGTTTGAGATTATACTTACATGAATTGGACTGTAGTCGAACGAATTGAATATCCAAAATTGGTCCAAGATACTTCAACATGAGTTGGACATGATTGGACGTCTATAGGATATCATGTGTTGTATTGGATATTCAAACAGAAGAAGTGATTCTCAAGAAGAGGAGATTGATCTATATTATAACTTTATTATCATATATTGTTTCAGGATATTGATACTTTTTCGAGAGTAGACCTCTACAAAGTGGATACCCATTATCCAGCTTCTGAAAATCGATCATTAACAGTTGTTCTGTACGGTCTACTAGGAACAAAGACATTTTCACAATTCCACATGGTTTTGAAGGAAGCTGCTGTAGCAGGAAGAATAGATTATGTGGTCCGACATTATGTACAGGTATCAAAGTTCAGAAACATCATTAATTCTATAAATATATCTTTGCCATCCCTTACATATACATTTTGTTCTATTCAATGATGAGCTTGTACAAACACCTTATTATTTGAAAATATTGACTAATTCATTGTTTACTGAGGGATTACTTCAACTATAATTTAGGCCTGGCTGGAATGAACACCAGAATTTATTTTATCGATACCAGACTGAAAAGTCAACAGGCATATTATTCAGAGTTTATTGATAAGGTTTTCTCCGCAAAATGCACATAGATTCACTAAGCATGGAGAATATTCCTTCAGAAATAAGAAAGGGGGCTACCTACAACCTGCATATCCTTTCTCCGTCCATTTATCAGAAAATATGCCCTTATATCCAACAACTTGATATTCCATGAACATATATTTTTTCACTGAAGATTCCTCTATAGATCATAATATAATAATTATAGTTGCTTACTTCAAATCAAATATTTGATTGAGTACAATAATTTGTTCAGGAGCAAGATACCCGTCATTTGAGGTTATCAGGATATGGAGTTGAGCTTCAGATGAAATCTACAGAATACAAATCACAAGATGATACTCAGGTACGAGAAGATCAGACTTCAGAAGAAAGTTCCCCAGAGGAGGATGATGCAGAATTAGAAGGATTTGAGTTTTCCAAATTGAAGTGAGATTTTTGAGATTCATTTCTGTTGATTCTTTTTTTTTCACATCAATATTTCCTATACATCTTATTTCCATTATCAAATGGTTCAAATATGTCTCAATTAAGAATGAATGTCTGGATTAAATGGATATGATTTTTTGATTTCAGGCAAATATTCCCCAATCTTAAAAACGAACTGAATGCATTCAAACTGCATCTTGAAGAAACCTCCAATGAACTGGCACCTTTGAAAGTATGGCAGTTCCAGGAATTGAGTTTACAGGCAGCTGAGCGAATTATGCATGTTCCCAAAGAAGAGGCATTGAAAGTCATGACACATATTGCTCAGAATTTTCCCGTACAAGTAAGAACATTTTGTTGCATATTCCACTCATTCCATCACCAATCAGAATCGTTTTCATTCTAATTTTCCTATATCATAACATCTTTTATTTACAAAAAAATAACTTTAAACTTGCTTCATTAATATAGAAGTCAAATTGACACAAACCTGACCAGTCAATCTTGTTCATCAGCAAGTATTTCCTTGAAATTCAAGTGCAATCGAGTAAATATTCAATTTTGACGCCACGGTTTCGTTTCACCTTTCGGAGCGCACGACAGGGAATCCCTATTTTGTTCATGGATCATAGTGCATATCCAGGGAGGATAGGGATATAAGGTAATATTTTTTTTACATTTGAAGGTTAGAAGCTCCTGGGAATACATTGCCTTGCAAATATTTCCAAATATGCCATTTCATAGACAAATGAGTTTTGGTTTTGGCAGAGAGTTTGAAATATATTGAGGTTGAAGCAGCTTTTACGATGGATTCAACTCATTCCAATGAAAAAGTATTACCGAGTATTACTGGGCTGTATTATCATTTAGTGTCTTACGAATTCATGTACTATTTCTCCTGAAAACGTTCGACATTCAAGCAAAACCACTTAATCAAGGCTAGATAGTTTTGTTAACAATATCATTCACGTTAGTAGATACTTTTTTCACTAAATTCAATCTGCATACCCATTGGTAGGTCCTTAGATTTCATTTTTGACCCACTTTATGCCTGTTTACCAATAGCCGGTAATCTGGAAAGCACCCAAGCAACAGGCACTGGTAGGGTTGGAGGTCATGACAGCTGTCATGAAACTGATTGCGAACGATTTTTCGATAGTCAGTATTTATTGATGACAGGAAAGTTTCTCTTCATAAAATGGCAGGTACAACATGCCCAGCAAAAAAACAATGAGGATCAGGTGGTAGGTCATTTAAGTGATGTTCAATTTTGACTTGCAACTCTTGACCTGAATTTATTTTTGTAGCAAAGACTTTTGCCACCAAACTGTGTTAATCCATGTTCAAGTTGAATGTATTTCAATGTTATTCTTGTGATTCATTGTTTAATTAATAGGTCTAGCATTATAAATATATTTTTGTTTTCGGTTTTCAATAAATATGTGATATTTTTCCATACTTATTGCTTTATACTAGCAATAGCAATTGGGCTAGTTTGGAAGGAACTATGTGAAAGGAGTAATTCTCTTCATAGATTACACTGTCTTGAGCAGAAACTCAAAAAAGAAGAAGTACTAGCCCAAGAATACTTCAAGAAAATAGGAAGCTATGCCTAGAAGGAATAAATAACGAAACTGACGCCAGAAGATGTACATGTTGAGACGCTCAAGACATGGTACATAAAACGAACATTTTACGAAAAAACTATTATTAATTGTTTATCTCTTCATCATTTTTAAATCAAAATATTCCGAAAACGGTACACAATATCGAGTTTTACCAGAAGTACCTTATTGGTGTTCCAGTTAACAAGAAATTTGGCCAAACAAATATAACCTCAGAAAAGTTATGTTTGAAATTACGCCGTTCGAACTGTGTAACTAGCGCCCTCTATGAGAGTCAGACATGAGTCAGACGTGGGTATCCACCAGCGTATGAAGTTGTAAACTTTTTCATAACGTTTTAATGACAGAATAATATTTTGACGTCCTTGAGAGTCGTGATTCTGTGCCACTTCAATTGGGTAGAAATCAACAATTAATAGGCTAAGAATCCAATGATGCCCTAACTGCATCTATTATATAGTATGTCATATACCACTACCTGGGCCAGTGTAAGTCGTTATGGAATGCTAAAATTCGAAATCTCTGGTACTGATACGTTTCAACAGGAAGGTCAAATTACTAAGGTGGACGAACATACTGACCTTCATCAGAAATCTACGGAGGTTCACAAAGGAGAATTAGTAGAAGGAATAGTAGATATTATGTGTGCAGCAGGGGTCGGCAAAAAAGGCTCACTGGAGCCTACTTTCTAGGCGACCGCCTCCCCTTTCTCTACTACTACTAGCATGTACCTGTACCTATGAAAAATTAATTGTCAAAATTATGATTTCTTACCACTTGTAGTATCCCGAAGTTAATATAAAATAGAAGAATATATTATGTTACATTTCAAACTAGTATTTTCATGCAAATATAATAGGTAGAAATCAGGAATCTATTATTGGTGCCGAAACTGCGACACATACTAAATCCATTCAGGAACCTCTATGCAAATCGAATGAACAAATAAATTCTAAAATTATTCTATCCACACAATCTGGTGTGAAATTTTCTTACCGAATACCGAATACGAGGTCAAATTACAAATTACTCGGAATAATTTTCAAAATATCCATGAGCTCGAAAATAATTTGACTCTAGTGGTATTACAAGTGAAAATCCCATTTAATTACAGGCAAAAGGTTTAGTCACAACAGTTGTAAATCCAGATATGAAACACGAAATGAAAAGAAACTCCGACATTTTTGCCAATCATCTCAATCTCCAGCCATCAGATACCGCCCTTTTCATCAACGGCATGTTTTATGATATCGATCTGGTGGATATTTATGGATTATTGGAAATTTTGCGCCAAGAACTCAGAACTATGGAAGGCTTGCACAGTATTGGTGTGAGCAACAAACGGATGTCGACCTTGTTAGGTTTGGACTTTGGAGATCAAAGTGGAAGTCAAGAATTTGCTATAGACATAAGAGACTCTGCTATAAATTGGATCAATAATATTGAACATGATAATAGGTATGGTAGGTGGAGTAGTAGTCTAATGGAGTTGTTGAGGCCCACATTTCCTGGTATGTTGAGACAGCTCAGAAGAAATCTATACAATTTGGTAAGGCAATTTTAATATCACAGTATTATTATTAGTATTATATACGCCAGTATTATCATTCGAAATATTCCTGGTAGTATTCACTGGTCGACAATTGAATGAAATGCACATTTTCATCCCAAGGAAGAAAGGCATGGGAATGAATCATTGCATTTTATGAGTATATAATATCGGCGAGACCGAACCACATACTATATGAACACCTCACATTTCACACTGAATCTCCTCTGGTGTGAATCAATTACGCTTTTGTTTCATGCACTCAAATAGGTCCATTACATATATGAAGACAATATTATTCAGTTGAGAATAAAGCAACTAGGAATTTCTCCACATAATAGGAGAGCAGTAAATTATGATTTATAGGAATGTTTATAGCCAGACAATTTCTATTATTTCCATTGACATCTGGCAACTATGTGTTTAACTCATTGAGTCGTGACGTCAGTAGTTAATTATTTGAACTTCATAGAAGGTACAGCCATGAGAAATTTGTATACATTTGGTAAAATGATTATGAATCATTTTGAAGTTAATGCAAGATATAATATCAAGTATTTCTCTAGATTATGTATATGTGTGCACTGACCAATAAGGTTCTGATAAGACTCTCAATGAATTAGTTTTAATATGTTTCTACAAATTGTGTTGTGTTTTAAAGTTCAACTATGATGTGCACTAGCAAAATCGGTCTATAGATAAGGACTGGGCCTAGTCAAACTGTTCAACACTATTTCATATACTTCCTGAGTTTCTGAATACTATATACTCCCAATTTCAGAAATTCATGTATTGAATGCTTCTATTCAGGTTCTCATCATCGATCCAACTAATCCGGAAGTGAAAGGCATAGTGAAACTTGCCGAATCTTTCGTCATACACACTGCCCCCATAAGAGTCGGTATAGTATTCAAAGTGGCCGATTCGCAGGACAAAAGCGGGCTGGATGACCCTGCAATAGCGATGCAGTGTGCGCTGAATTATGTAACCCAAACAAAAGACGCACCTACTGCCCTAAGTTTCGTCAGAACGATTCTTCAGAGCGCCAAGGAGCGTGTGACTGTAGAGGATGTGAAAGCTCAGCTAAGGTCGGAGTATGATGAAGATCCAGTTGATATTCTTGGTGAGTTAATTGAATTCTCCAAAATTGACTATCTTCTCATGTTTATTTAATACGTGCATTCTGAATAAATACTAGGGATGTTTCCAAAGTTCTAAGAATTGTGCTATAATTGAAATATGTAAAACTTATAGGCATTAATATTGATGCTAGACTTGTCTTGACATGTTTATGCAACAACATTGTACAATTTTGTTCAATCAATCTCAAGGAGCAATAATTTTCTTTTTGAGACATTTGTTGCAGTGCCTCTGAGCTATGCGTATATCTTCAGTACATAATTTTTTGTTATTTTTTTTTTCAATTTTTGTGCTCACCTATAGATAGATATACTTACACCTATTTTCATTCTCTCAGTATCCTTTGTGTTTTTATTGTTGCTTTACATATCAAAAATTTCAACCAAATGAATCAAGCCGTTTATTAGTTGACGTACCGACAGCAGCGCTACCTTCCGCATCCAATTGTATGTTTTAATCATCCAGAAAACCATCGGAATACCCATATAATATTTCAACCCAATCGGTGCATCCGTTTAGGAGTTATGTAAGAAAGATAATTACGAAAGTACAATATTTCTTGATACCCGTTGTGCTATTACCCGTTGTCCCGTAGGAATGAAGCATTTTCCATCGGTAAGAAGTAGCCTATGTTCATCAGGGATAATGTCGGCTTCTAATGGTGAAAGAATTTTTCAAATCGGTCCATAAGTTTCGGAGCTTATTCAATACAAACAAACAAACAAACATTCAGATATTTCCTCTTTATAATATTAGTATAGATTAATCCGAATCAAAGATGAACCTACCTACTGACCTATCTATGTATTGAAATACTCGAAATTTGCAAAGGAACACTAGTAAAGATGGCAAATCATCACTTGAAATCATTAAAATCTCATGTTATCACCAACATATTCAAAATTCATACCCTCTACCTTTATTCTGTAAAATAGTAGCAGAAAGGAGTATATACTGATAAGAAATAAAGAGATGACAATGCTTGAATAACCCAAGTGATCTAGTAGGAACAGTGCTAATAGTTATTTATTATACAAGGGAAAAAACTAGTAGATGTTAGCTCCAGGTTGGGTTGTCTCCCGATGCGTAGTGGAGGGAGACAAAAAACCGTTAGCTTAAATCTAATATTTTTCCCGTGACAAATACACAATTCTTTTAGGACAGGAAAAAGAACGAATCAATATTGAGAACATATTATATTATAATAAAATCAGGAAATTATCGACGTCAAATTTGAAGTTTTTAACAGTAATTACACCTGCATTGCAAGCATCTTTTTGCAGGCATCCTGCAAATTAACGTCATCCTATTAAGCGAAACTGGCTATCGGGAATGATTGTTTAGCAAATGTTGAAAGTAAAGTAATCATAAGTTCTCAAAGACAAAAGCATTGGCTGAGCCAGTTTCACACAACTAGAACTAGGATGACGAAAACCTCTCTTTTTAAACTTGTACGCTCTTTTATTGAATACGACTGTACTTATTGTAAAACCAATATGGAGTTTGTCAATTTTTTGCTATCCGGGCTGTCATATCGGATTGAATTCTATGGGTTGCATGCAAGAACTGTCAGATGACCGACCCTGGAGGTGAAACTTATTTGTTTACAAAGGATCGAAATAGCTTTTCTCCGGTTGGTACATTAGGATTTAAAAGTAAGTATTTACTATAGTCACTCACATAGTTTTCATTTCGAAATTTGGTAATTTCTCTGATTCCTCATCGAAAGTCCTTCTGCAATAGGAGCTAATAGAAATACTCGTGGAATTTTTAAAAGAATGTAAGAAGATTAAATTCATGCAATCAACCGGGAGGACTGGACTGACATGCTGACGAAGTATGATCCTGTGTGTTTTCAATCTATTAGCAGTATTAGCTTTTGTTGCAGAAGTGGCAGAAGGAATTTTAATGATAAATGACAAAATTTTATAATGAAAACTGTGTGAGATTACTATTTACCTGAAGAATCATATTCCTTCGTCTCTCGCTGCATTTTTTGTGCATTGTACAACAGAACAATGAGATGGCATGCTTGAATTGAAAATATGGCGCAAAAAACACGTTTGGTATGCCAAAATATTGTGAAAAACTAGTTCTATCCTATGATTCCTCTCTAAACAAATAACAAAAGTGAGGTTGTGTTTCAATGTTTTGCCTCCAGAATCGGTGATCGTGCACGCGACTTATATGCGTTTGATTTTGCGCAATCCGAGAACGGTTTCGAAATTCAAAAAATGAATTAACCCGAATAAAATCGGTATTGTACTCATGAGTTTTGTCATGTATTCATTTCGACAATAAATTGGGTTCATATATCACAGTCCTAGCTGATATTTTTGCTATAGGCGAAGATTCCGTTTATGATTTCGGAAGACAACTGGCCTCCGACTTCGTCGACAGATCAGGCCTCAAAGTATTCCCGCAGGCCCTCCTTAACGGAATTCCCCTGCCTCAAAACCAGATGAACGTCGACGATTTCGAAGAAGCCGTTTTACAAGAAATCATGTCGCAAACTCCGACCTTCCAGAAGAACGTGTACCGAGGCAAAATATCCGATTCGGATGACGTGTTTGATTACATAATGAACCAGCCGAATGTGATGCCACGTCTTAACGATAGAATCTTGAACAAGGAGAAGTCTTTCCATCTGGATATGTCGGGTACTGCTTCTAGCATCAACAATGTTCAGGGGCTCTTGCAACTGAGTGCTCGCGATATGACGGCTACCGCCATAGACAATTTGCGGTACTTCTCTGGTGCTAAGAAGGGACACGAGACCCATACCATGACTTACTGGATTGTAGGAGATTTGAAGTGTGACAAGACTAAGAGGATACTGTTAGATGCCCTACATCATCTGGTATGTTGTATTTTTTTTTCAAAGGAACATTATATTTTGAAGAGGAAAATACTATATCCTGTGTTTACTCAATAACAAACTTCTGTATTTTGGTTTTCTCACAAAATGAAGACCAAATAATGAAATGGTTAATTTATTGAAGGAGTAGAAACTTTCGTTTTGTGTCTCCACTCGAGATTGATTATACTTACTTAGTCGACAAATTCAACCTATATATTCCTCTAGAAGGTAATTTTATCGGCAAGTTTGAAACATATGTGGACACATTTTTAAACTGATTATAACAATTCTAGCTAAGGCGTCCATAACATTTATATCTTATCAACGTCTTTGGTATACAAATCTCTAGCTTTTTCAAAAATGACAAGGGATTTTCGATAATCATCAATAAAACTAGTTATTTTCATCATTTCATTATTTCATGGATAAAACAATAATTTTATCTCCTATTTCCATATGCTGTCGTTGCGTTATGCAACTAACGATACATCCATCAAATAATTTACGGTTTTACGGCGTGAACACTGACATCGACTCATAGTCATCGTCATAACTATGTTATGGTTAGGAGGTTAGCATTTTACTCATGAGTTCATTAGGTTGTCAAAAGTGTTTGGAATGTCGATCTTAAAAAATCCTAAAATTCATTGATACAAATTAAAAGTGAGCGCCTATTACGATTTTGTGTTGAGTTCCTCAATATGAATATATTATGACATCCATTACAGCCTCCTGCTGGTAAGTAATTTTGTTCTATTTTGATCAATTTACCAATAAGGAAGCGAACTGCAAAATCGAAAACACAACTTTTTGTAGGTATCCAGTAGCCAATCAACAGACGAAACACAAAAAGGAAACTTCATGTTTTCGATCATCAACACAGATAACTGGTCTTCAACTATGATTGAAAACCACGGGAAAGATTACTACGAAACCAAGAAAATACATTCGTATCTCTTAGACGTGGGTGGAAAAAAGAAGCCGCATCAAAAATGGCCACGTGGCACTCAATCATTGTTGAAGGCCCGGTATTTCAACCAATCAAAAACGTGTATTTTGGAATGAGTGAAATAATCGACAGCAGTCATTTATGGTCTACAAAAAATATCTTTGATCAAAGTTTCGACATGGAAATCATTGGGTAACAAACACTGCAGTTATCATGCAATGGTTTCTTTTTCGAAAATTTTTCTTGGTACTTACGTATTTTTGTCTGAAAAACACGAATTTGATAATGAAAATGTGAACAAACCACTATTTATCGAGATATTTCAAGAAAAAGTTCGAAATTTTGCCTTCTTTTTCCCCTTTTGTTGGATGCATTTACATCTACTTGCTCTTCTTATTTTGTCATTGGACACTTTATATACTCATGATGTACTTCAATGACACATTTTTATATAGAAAATTCAACAGGAAATATAATTTTTATGGCGAGTTTTTCATATTTAGTGAACAAGCATACCAGATGACAGCCATTTATTCAATAGTCAATCCAAATAAGAGATGTCAAATGTCAACAGATTGCATTACACACGCCATTATTTTAAATGATATTCTTCCTTCTTTTCACTAAATATGGATAAATCACAAAGAAATCATATTTCTAGTTGACTCATGAAAGAAAAAAATGTGTCGTACATTGTGATATATAAATTGTCCAATGATGAAAAAAGAAGGGCAAATTGTTCTAAATGGGATCCCGAAGACTGGCGGAAAAGAAGGTGAAATTTCTCAACAAATAATTCGTGTTTTTCAGAAAAAAATACGTGAGTACCGAAACAAAATTTTCGAGAAAAAAAAACCACCACATGATAAATGCAGTTTTACCTTCTATTGTTATACAGAAAGTTTTTTCATTCTAAGAAGTTGTTGGTTGTCTAGCCTAGCAGTTAGTGTGTCGAATGCTTGTTTCCAGTATTTTCCGATGTTTACAATTCACTTTCTGGGTACCAATGAAAAAATAACAAAAAAGCAAACGATGCTCATTTTTATTACCCTTTTTGTGACTTGATTTCACTGATTCATTAACGTATACCTGGAATTGTTAAAAGGAAATTATTTTCTCACTGTTTCAGAAATCAGAAAGTCATGTGAGGGTAAGTTTCCTTCCTAATGTGAATGGAGACAAAGAGAATGAATTGAACAAAATAGTTCTGGCTGCTCTACAAGAATTACCATCGGAAAAGGCATTGAGCTTCATCATATCATTATTACAATTCAATTTAGGTGACAGAAAAGACAAGCCAGATATTCCTGTGAGTCTATCCATTTAAAAATAAATGAAAATATCATAGTTACATAATGTTTTAGGCAGAGGTCTCGTCAAAAATATCTGCACAAGAACTCAATTTGAAGATGTTGAGGGTTTATTGTCAAAGGGTTTTGAAACTGAACGTGGGAGATAGAGCAGTGATAGCCAATGGAAGGGTTCTGGGACCGCTCGATGAAAATGAAGATTTTACAGCAGAAGATTTTAATCTACTGGATAGGTTCAGTTCATCTTCATACCTCGAGAAAATCAATACCGCTTTGAAAATAGACTCCGATGATGATGATGAAGGTTAGCTATACAGGGTCGCTGATATGTATGGAAACAGGTGAATATCTCGGTAACCTGTTGTTGGATTTTTTTGAATTTATGTACTGTGTGATTTCAAAACGTGGCAGATTTGAAAATGATATAGCCAATGTTGCCACTTTTTCAGTTATACCGGATTTTTTATTAACTTCCTTATTTTGAATAAAACACCCTGTAATTTATTGGATTTTCAGATTCTCCCTGAAGAGCTAATTCCATCGATCTATCACACTTGGGGTCTAGCAGGAATGAATACATAGGTATAGGGTGTTTAAAATCTAGATTTTTCAACTTTAGTATTTTTTTGTGTCGAAACTATTCATTATCGATCAAAACCGCTCCAATGTTCCCATCTTTACTTCTGATTTACTATCTACTGACATTAAATTGAAACAAATACAGGGTGGTTCAAGATACAGAATTCTGATCACCCTCTGTATCTGTTCCAATTAAATAGTCAGTAGATGGTAAATCAGAAGTGAAGATAGTAACATTGAAGAGCGGTTTTGATCGATAATGGATAGTTTCTACACAAAAAAATCTTGAAGTTGAAAAACCTAGATTTTAAACACTCTATACCTATGTAATCATTCCCGCTCGACCCCATGTGTGATAGATCAATGGAATCAGCTCTTCAAGGAGAATCTGGAAATCCAATAAAGTACAGGGTGTTTCATTCAAAATAAGGAAGTTACTAAAAATCCGGAATAACTGAAAAAGTGGCAACAGAGGCTATAACATTTTCAAATCCGCCACGTTTTAAAATCACACTGTACATAAATTCAAAAAATCTAACAACAGATTGCCGAGATATGCACCTGTTTCCATACATATCAGCGACCCTGTATATCCGGTATTTTACGGTAGATAGAAGAGTATAGTAGTTGATATTATCAGTAATTGTCATTGTCTATGGCATTGTTAGTGCTTTCCCCTAATAATTCTCTATACCACCTGTCTCAAAAAGGTTTTGAGATATCAATGTATCATTCGGTAATATATGACTTCAGAATTCATGCTCATCTCCAAGATGCAAATGAAAAATTGTGACAAAACATATATAGGCCAACTAGGCGACCCATAAAAACTAGGTTCAAAGAACACTCAGCACATTTGAAGTATATGGTAGGTTAGATACATCAAGTGTAGCAGATTATATGTTTAATCACAAACAAATTAATCAAACAAGTCGTGACTGTAAGAAAATCAGATGCATATGAAAGCCTAGAAATATTTAAGAATAGTTTTAAACCAATTTGTATGAAACACTGGAAAAAATTGGTGGCGATTCTGAAAAAAGGCCACATCCACTGACTGTCACCCATTTCTTTGATATTATGTGCAAATGTTTTATCCGCCTTGAAGAACCTGTTATTTTATGCATGACTTGAATGATTCTTGAGACTTCCAAGTTATTTCTCGGGTTTTTAGATTTGTCCAGTGATTCCATGATGAAAATTATTTCGCTCCTGATTTCGAGACCTCAATCGAGATCTCGATTCGAAATCACATTTGCTGGAGACGAACATTCTGTGGTCAAAGTTCCGCCATCTAAGCCAGATCAGGTGGCATTCGACATTGTAGCTGTCGTCGATCCAGTTTCACGAGGTGCTCAAAAACTCGGACCGATTTTATTGGTGTTACAGGAGGTTTTGAACTGCAACATCAGAGTGTTCTTGAACAGTGTCGAGAAGAACAGTGATATGCCTCTGAAAAGGTAAATATATATCATTTCAGAACAGAATTCTTTCAAGCGGTCATTCTCTTACCAAATTTGTAAAGTTTACAACTCTATACCACAATCAATAAAAAATGAAGGTCTTCACGAATTCAAAAGCACCTACAGAAAATATTTATTTCAGCTTCAGTGTAACAAATTGGAACCATGAAAATCTTGAATATCGGCTCTATATTACGTATCATGTATTTCCCCCTCTTCTCAATTTCATATTAAATTCTTAAAAGTACTATTTTCAATCTTAGGTAGCAAACTCGATCATGCAGACATCCATATTTGGAAATAATGCGGAATAAGACACTATATAGAAGGTTAAGTGGAAGAACAATTTTGTGGTGATTCATCATCTCCACCGAAATTGAACTTCGCCTTCTACTCATTTCAATTGTTTTTTTCTTTTTTTATATACTGATGTAAGATGTGATGTGAGTAATAAAGACCTTAATTATTATTATTATTATCTTTGGGGGAAATGTCAAGCCTGCTATTTTGTGGGCAAAAAACTTTTTCATCCGCTGCAGTAAGCACCTTAGATCTAGGGGAAATTATTTATTAATTTATTTATTACAAAGTAGGGATACAAACAGACAAAATCCAACGAATATCCTTTTATTAGATAATCAAATAGTGAGCTTATAATAACGTACCTACTTATGTAGTAGACATTATAACTGATGCATTATTAAAATACCATATATGAACGATACGATTGAAACGTTATCTGTAGACGAAAGTGCGTGTAAATTTTCATCTGGTCAACGAAAGCAGAACAAGGATTTCACGTATTTCTTGAAATTTAAAAATGAAAGTCTGAAGATTGTGATTTCATTATAGTAGTAGTAAGTTGTGACAGAGATGTATAAAAATTTAATTGGTGCGCTTGCTCCCTATTGAAGGTCGTTTGCAAGTTTCTCGATGGCGCCTACTCTGATAAACCTTTGATAAACATACTTGACGTGGGTAAATCTCGCTAAGCTCATCCTGGTTACAATCCATATTTACAGGAAACATATTATCGACCGATAAATATTTGGATACGTGTATGATTTGGATCAGAGCAGTGAACTGATTCCTAATCAAAGGATCGAAACGTCAATATGTCAAAAATATTCTTGAGCTGAAAAAATGGTTATTTCTGAGATTGGGGTCAAGTGTTCGTTAGGGACGTGTTCCATAGTTTCTAAATTTTGTGTATAATACCTAATCCACCATAGAAAAAAGAAAATCTCTGTTCTACTACAGTATTATTTCAGTGATTTGAAATATTAGCGTGCACTGGTGTGAATAAATTCTAAGGTGAGTACCAGTTACCATATCTGCCTATTATGATTTTCGATATTGGTCTATTTCAATAGTTGATACATTCTTTGTTCTGGTTCTTCAAAGAGGAAAGTCATCAGATTTCATGTTTCAAAATGTTGAGCACAGTATTTATTCGACCACAGAACAATGATGGAAATAGATTCATTCCCCACAGAACCAAGATTTTAAACGATTTTTCGATTATGGCGCCTCTATCGCAAATACCTGAACCCCACGTCCAAAACTCGCTTGCAATTGTTCCATATCGAGAGTTAGTCTGATGAAACAATTGAAGAGTGAGCCCACCAGTCAAATTTCTATACATCTCTGTTGTGACCATTCTGCAAATGAGAGAGTTTAATCCTGAGTTTGTTTTTCTGAAAGTTGTTGAAGGTTTCATGGCTTCTTAAATCTCTGCTAGGTGAACTTAAGGATATTTTGGACGATAGTCCGGAACAATCAATACCATTGTTGAATATTTTATATATCATTAGAAGGTCTGACATGCTTCTTCTGTCGGTGAGAGACAACATGGAATACTTTCTTAGAATTGGACTGTAATTACTGTTTACTATTGGGATATCTGATTTACGAGCTAGTTGTTGAACGAATTTGCTCTGGATGCTTTCGATTCTCTGCTGATAAGTGGCATATTGGGGACTCCAAACAATTGAAGCAAAATTCAATTTACTATATACAGAGATCTATATATAAATGCATACTAAAGGTTCAAGAGAGCGATTACAATTATTAACCATTTTTTCGATATAAGTCTTAAAAATCATTTTAGAATCCACGGTTCTCATTATAATATGACCATCTATTCTGTACTGATGGTTAATTATATTCCCATTTCTGGTGAAGGTTATTGGGAGGCATTTATTTATCGAATGGATCAGTTTCGCTTTCACTATCACTATGATATGACATTTTTATTTCATCACTCTACATGAAAAAAGTGAAAAAAAAACCGAGATTGAAATAGCATGTTACGTTGACGAACCATAAATTCTGACGATACTACTGTCCAAAAACCAGTCAAGTCCAGGACTTGACCGGTTTATGCGAAGTATGAAACTGTAGGCATCCAATTAAATAACCTAGTGTTTACACCATTGATCCTTCAGAGCCTTTCATGCACTGAACGATTCAGAATTCGGTACTGTGCATGAATATAACCTTAACTCATTTACCTAAAAAATGGACTTGACTGGTTTATGCATTGGACTCCTCAAATTCGTTCCATAACGAAAGTACATGTTTCCATTGGTCAAAATCTGTTTTGAAATGAATGTCCTTATTAAAATGATCAATATCAATAAATCGGTAGCAGATATTCAATTCGCGTATTGTGATGTAATACAGGGGTTGAAAAACATATTTTACGTATACTGAAACCTATTCCAGCTTTTATCGATTCGTAGTCGAATCAGAAATTCAATTTGGAGAAGATGGTAAGCAATTGCCAGGACCGATTGCAAGGTTTACCAATATGCCAACCTCGCCTCTTCTGACTCAAAATTATCATGTCCCCGAAAATTGGTTGGTCGAAGTAGTGAGATCAGTATATGATTTGGACAACATCAGACTGGAAAATGTTGAAAGCAATGTACACAGGTGAGTTGTTTCATGACATCATGCTATATTTGTGCAGGATATATTATGATTACTGTTATGGTATCTATCCATTTTCAATATCTAGGAACAAGTAAAAAAATATGTATGTGGGTTGTGAGATCATAACATGTAGCACACCATTATTTTGCACTAATAAGAGGGTCTTTTTTGTCAAAATGAACGTAATATTTCGAAGATAGCCTTATTCTGGTTTCTTTTTGAGTGAAATTTCCCAAAGGCAACAGTAATCGATGAATCTCAAGTTCACTTCCTTTAAGAAAAATGCTTGACCGTAATTTGGTAAGGCAATTTAATGGATACATGAATCACATTATTGTTGATGTTTTTTTCAATTTATCCACTCGAAGATTCTCCAAATCGCGACATTTCCACAAATTAGATAGTTTGAGAAAAATTTACAAAAAGACCATCAATGATTTGGTCACAATTTTGGTGGTCACGCTCTCAAATGTTAGGTTCCTGGAAAATTAAGGGAGAACCTTTTCCGCTGTCAAAGCACCTTATGGGGTTTTTATAAATGAATTGAATTATTCAAAAATCTTTTTTACAACCTGAAACATTTTGTATCTGTATCTCGGGAACAAAACGTTCGTGGACATATATGTTCATATAAACTATTTTTTATTTGGACCCAACAAATTTGACCTGGAAGTATCGTACAACATGAGTTAAACCGTTACCACCGATACAAAAAGGCCAGCAGACTCTGACGTAAACAGCTCGTGACGTCGCTAAGTGAGGCCAGTGTTTTATTTTATCGCTTATCGACTAACGCGTCAGTTCGTGTTAATTCATCGGTGATTCACGTATGTTTTTGAAACGGTCCCGAATTCTTTTGTTGTTTATTCATCAAAATAATTGGCGGAAAAATTACTGTTTTGTGAAATATTTTGTGTTGTAATCGGCGAAATAACAATGCCTTTCAAGTGTTGTGTTCCCTTTTGTCGGGGGAATTATGTGGGTGGTTCAAAAGTCCATGCTTTCAGTTTCCCGTTGGACGAGGAGCTATCGAAAATGTGGGTAAGCAATTCACCGCGAGGATTTTACTCCATCTAAGTATCTAACTTCAGTAGTAAACAGAGCTTAATTTATAATGATGAATTAATAATAGAAGACAATTACTCTCTCATAAAAAGTATAAGTAGAGGAAAAATAGAAAAGCTTTGATTGTGCAGTTAGTTTTGTATTCGTATATTATAGTCAACAAAATCATCTCTGAATTCGAGAAAATTTTCTTGAATGTTCATAATAAACGGGCATTTTTAATCCTCATTCTCAAATTTCTTTCTCAAAACGGTCATTTGCCTCGTGGCAATGAATGCAGAATTCATTCCAATGATCAAATTGCAACTATAGGCTAAGCATATTAGGATTCTCAGAGGAAAGTTTTGCTATAGTTTTGATTTTCTCACCCCCTATGTTTTTTAGGTCGCTGATCATGAATTTGAAGTTTGCTGGCAAAATTTTGGCCCGGAACTTTGTTCTTTTGGCACTTTTTGCACAAATTTTGGCACTTTTTTCAGTTTTTGGCCTATATCTCAGAAAGAAACCGTTTTTTCGAAAAGCGTGTTATATTCAAAGTTAGAGTTGACAAAATTTCCTTCATTTTTTGTGAAATTCTTTTTTTTGTAAGACTAACCATTCGACCGCTAAAGCGCGCCAAAAAGACATATTCCCGGACCTAGACCTACATGAATAATGAATATAGGGAGAGTAATTGAAATAATGGAACAAACGAATGAAATGCAGTCATTACTTACTAAAGAAGTTATCTACAGTGTATATACTGTCGAAAGTTTTATAACATGCTGTCTTGAATTAGACTGCCATAATCATCTGGAACAAACGGATATATTATTTCTTGGATTTTTTGATGGACGGGGTGAATATTATTTTGCACGTTCACTTTTGAGGATACTATTGTACATACCTTCATTCTTCAAGGAAATTTCACATCCTCTTCAGTCTATTCATCTATTCTCCATGTTTACAGGTGGTGGAGGTCTGTAATGAACAGAATACATTCATCTTAGTACATACATATTATGCTCCAAGAGTGTGATTGTCGTTTTTAAGGAAGGAAATGCTACATACTTACATCCCCCTTGTCCATACTCTTTTCGATGGTCTCAACTACCGGGGAGAAGGTGAAGCCCAGTTCGTCCTGTACTTCAACGTCTAATGGCCCGTCATCGAGGGGATTAGTGAGATCTGCCTCGATTTTCACATTTTCACAGTTGATGCTCAGATTTGTGCAATCGAGGCTTGCGTTTTTGCAACTACATTTTTTTGCACAGGTCTCGATGCATCTACATGACACCAGACGAAGTAGTTCGAGAGGAGCGGGGGCTTGTAGAGAAGTGATCGGTTCCAGGCCATTTGTTGCTCGTTTCCAACCCCAATCTTCGGCATTCTTCTCAACTCCCACCCATTGCTGCACCTGGAGATATACCCTAAAACTGTGCTGTGTGGCTGCAGCAGCTGATGGTGGTAGTGCAGCTATTTTCAATGAAGTCTTGGAAGCTGCCTTCTTATAATTAATATACCCCAGCCCCAGACGGTTTATCGACGGTTCAGTTCTTCCTGTGTAGCCGTACACGTTGACCAGGAATCTCTCCTCTGCTGCTGCAATGCTTTCTGGAGTTGGCTCAGGGTTTTTGAACACACTCACAACATCGGCAAGGTTGGGATTTTTGGTGAGAGTTTTCACGAACTTTAACTTTCCTTGGTTGTAAGGTGCTGAAGTTGTATCACAACCACTCATTGCATGAAGAAACATGATGTGTTCTCTTATGATTTTGTTTGTCAGAGCATGCATAGGAAAGTAGGTGGTTGGAGAAACATTCCCCTTTCCTGGTTGCAGGAAGAATACGTTATCTCGTAGACAAAGACCCGTAAGGATGACCAACAGGTCGATGTCCTCTCCAACAACCACCACCTCAGTCTCAGTACGTTCAGCCAAAGACAGGGCTTCGTTCACAATGACGGTATCGGCATCTTCTGTGGCCTGTCTCCATATCATGTTTTGAGAATGTAACTTTCCTATGATCATGGAAATCAATCTTCTTTTGTTGTTCGTATTGGATAGGAATTTTTCTTTCTTTATGGTCGGTATTCTGTTCTCTTCGAAGAGAATGTCTGCGGAAATCGATTTCATAGACCTCTTCAACCGTTCAGAACTTTTTGTTCCACCTTTCGAAACTTCTGGATATCCATCGAATACAACTAATACTGTTTGTGCCATCAGTATCAGTGAATTTCCCTAGATATGGCCTTTTTTGGCGCTCTCTAGCGGCAGAACAATTAGTCTTACAAAAAAATGTTATGCATGAAAAAAATAGGAAATTTTATCTCCTTTCATTTTATACAGAATGATCTTGTCAAAAAAATGTTTTCTTTCTGAGATATAGGCGAAAAACTGAAAAAAGTGTCAAAATTTTGGCAAAAAGTGCCAAAAAAACAAAGTTCCGGGCCAAAATTTTGCCAGCAAACTCCAAATTCATGATCAGCAACCCAAAAAACATGGGTATAGAGAAAATCAAAACTATAGCAAAACTTTCCTCTGAACCCCCTTTATTTTCCTAATATGCTTAGCCTACTATCAAATTAACATGAACTACAAACACTCTACTCAAAAAAGGTAAGACCGCATTTATCATGATATTTATCATGAAGATATTTGACTGAAAAGTTCCAAATTTCACCTTCTTTTTCACCTGTCTTCTGGATGGCATTTAGAACAAATCTCCCTTCTTTTTTCATCATATTGGACAATTTATATATAATTCAACTATAAATATGATTTTCTTGAGATTAATCCATATTTAGTGAAAAGAAGGAAGAATATCATTCAAAATAATGGCGTGTGTAATGTCATTCGAAAGCAATCTATTGACATTTGACATCTCGTATTTTGATTGACTATTGATTAAATGGTCGTCATCTGGAATGCTTGTTCACTAAATATGAAAAACTCGTCATAAAAATCATATTTCCTGTTGAATTTTCTATATAAAAATGTGCCATCGAAGTACATCATGAGTATATAAAGTGTCCAATGACAAAATAAGAGCAAGTAGCTTCAAATGCCCCCAACACAAGGGAGAAAGAAGGCGAAATTTCGAACTTTTTCTTGAAATATCTCAATAAATAGTGGTTTGTTCACATTTTCATTATAAAATTCGGTTTATCAGACAAAAATAAGTGAGTACCGAAAAAACTTTTCAGAAAAAAAAAAACATCGCATGATAAATGCAGTTTTACCCTTAAAAATTACGGTTTTAAGTGTAACGATCCACTTGGGTGAAAAATCCAACAACAGAAAATTGAAAACACTCACTGGTTATTTTTTCAGGTAATAGGAATTCTCCAAGATAAATATAGGTAATTGTAACAAACCGCATGTCAATCAAAATAAAATACATTTTCCACAATTTTCTTTCGGTCAATCTCACGATAAGTTCATGTTCTGCGGGCCCTGTATAAGTAGGTGTGAAGTTTACCTTCACCACAATTTTTGCCAATATATTTAATTCGAATGGGTTGCTGTAGGTGGATATTTGTATTTTATCCTGGTTTTTGCTTTAAAACTTCGTTTTTCCATAATAAGATCGAATGGGGTGCGAAGAAGGGCTCAGTTGACGACTGGCATCCTTTTTTAACCGGAAGCCCTTCAAAAAACAGCAAAATCGGCTCAATGATGATCTAAAACTAAAATCGAAATACGCGGTCGCCTTATAGCGCTATAAGCGCTTGTTGTTTCGAGCCGCTGGTTAGGCCTGACTAAGTGACGTCACCCACGGAGCATGCAGGCCTTGTTGTATCGGTGGTAACGGTCAAACACCTTATATAAAAGCCGGTCAAAATCATTCCCAAAGACAATAATAATATAGTCAACCAATTGATCTCCTTTTCACGAACACTGTGTATATAATATTACCAACTTCATTTCCAGTGAATATGAACTGGAATACCTTCTGGTTGAGGGACATTGCTTCGAGCAAAACACGGGTAGCCCGCCGAGAGGTTTGCAGATCACTCTGGGTACCGAGAGCCAACCTGTCATGGTGGACACCATCGTCATGGCCAATCTGGGATATTTCCAACTGAAAGCTAACCCTGGAGCCTGGTTGCTCCGACTTAGGCAAGGAAGAAGTTCCGAAATCTACGATATCGTCAGGTGAGATCTAATAATCGAATTTCACTTATAGATATAAATTTAGATATAGATATACGGTGAAAGAAGTGCAAGACTTGGTGGAAGGCGGAACAACAAATATCCCCTGTGTATTAACTGAATACAGATTATATTTCAGTTGATCTGAGTATAGTTGCCCTATATGTTCGGTGATACTATTTTGTAATAAATGTGAGATCTCTTCTAGGCTATTTATATTTTGCTCAAACTGACAGATTTCAAATGAAATTACAGCCATGAAGGTAGTGATACTCCGGAAAACTCGACTGATATCAAAGTACTTATAAGCTCGTTAAGATCCCATATAGTGAAATTGCGGGTTCAGAAGAAACCTGATAAGATGAATGTGGATCTACTGTCTGAGGAAGAAAATGGCTCTGGTATTTGGAATTCTATTGCAAGGTAAGAATTTGATCTATATATTCATTCTATGCATTTTCATATTGACATGCTTTTTGGTAAACATTAAATATTTCATAAAACTGTTTTTTATTGTCCAAACTTTAGCTTCCCCTTCTAAGTCTTTGGCTAATTCAGGTACTTCCAAAATCAATACTGAAATTTCCATTCAACGAATTGATCTCACTTTATCAAGTCCTGAAATAGGTTGGTCATGTAAACAAAGTCTAAATGTTCTTCAAATTATTACATTTTCTTGAGGGAGGGGATCTTGGCAAAATGACGGATCATTTAGAAAAGAAAATATCTCATGTATCTGTTTCAACGAAATGAACAGCACACTCTGCAAAACTTTGAAATTAAGTCCTATAATGAAGCATGATTTGACTTGAACTCTGTCACATACAGAGAAGTGCACAAAAAACGGCCACGACTGTAACTTTTGGATTTATCGAGGTAGGGTTTTAAAAATTTGTGCGCAGCTATTATACCAAATTGTTCAGTAACTGACGAAACCATTTTTGTTCTATCACTTCCGGTTTTACTGGAAACGACCCCAACTTTGGATTTTCAAATGGGACACCTTGTATTGTATTCCATAATCGGTTAGGGATTGTCATAACGAATTCGTCGATACCGGGTTTGATAGGGTTATTTCAAACGATTACGCAAATATTCGCGTTCTAAGTTTCCATAAGCTCAATGAGTGTGACAGAGAAAGAAGTTTTGATATTGCGAAGTCACGCCCATTGAGCATATGGAAACTTTGAACGTAAATGTCTTTGAAATCGTTTGAAATAACCCTATCAAACCCGGTATCATTGAATTCGTCATGATAATCCCTAATCGATTATGGAATACAATACAGAGTGTCCCATTCAAAAATCAAAAGTTGGGGTCGTTTCCGGTGACACTGGAAGTGATAGATGAATAATGGTTACATCAAATAATGAGCAATTTGGTGTAGTTGCTGCCCACTAATTTTCAAAACCCTATCTAGAATAATTCAAAAGTTACAATCCTGGCCATTTTTTGTGCACTTCACTGTATGTAAAAACTTCACAATGAAATGAATTGTACCAAAATTTCACCTGACGAAGCTACTGTGTTAGCTAAAAATGTTGTGTGACTAAGAGTTTTGTGGAAATATCGTTTTTGTAGTTTTTACATTTGCTATGGATTTCCATCAAGTGACGGCCGAGTCAATTCAAAATCTGTCACATATGATTTGACATCTTTAATCTTTTAGGGAACGTTGAAGACTCACTTTAGTCCTAAAAATATTAAAAGAAAACATGAACTAAATTCTTAAATATTTTTGCTGTACTGCAAACACTTTCACTTATAACTGGATCAATATATTATTCTTACACTGTTCACTGGCTCTCAATAACATTCCACATTATTAACACACCAATTCATTTTTGTAAACTAAACAAATTTACTCAGTTGCATTCACATTTCATATACGGGCACTGTTGCCAATTCTGTTTACCAAGGCATTTTATAGACACAGCTGTGGCGTTGTGGCCTTAGAAATTATGTTTCGCTTGGTAGCACCGATAGTGTAAACTGCGCATACCACTAACCGTGTTGACATTATTCTGTCGCTGCTTTCTCTTTATACATCAGTTGCATGTTTGGCTCCAATTTTTAGTTCATTCACTGGAAATGAAGATGAGCCAGATGAAGTCCTTAACATATTTTCATTAGCGTCTGGACACTTATACGAACGATTCCTCCGAATCATGATGTTGTCTGTCCTGAAGCATACGAAAATGCCAGTTAAATTTTGGTTTTTGAAGAATTATCTCTCTCCTCAGGTCAAGGTAAATTAACAACTTCCAATACAGGTGAATGGAGTTTATATGGTGGAGTGATTTCTATTTGGCATGGTTTAAATACCTTATTTTTTCTTCTAGTTTCATGAACATGACATCTCTGGGAGAATCTCGTTGATTATTTGACCTCAAATCAACTTCCATCGTTGTTAATAAATGAGAAAGAAATTAAACATTTGTTTATACGTTCAATTATGATAATTTGTCGAAGTGATTGTAAGTACCACAGTTATGAAATTTCCACCATGGTTGGTACAACCACCGAACATAAACAGAAAGGACGAAAATTTGACAGTGATCCAATTGATCTAAAATATTTTGCTGTAGGTTAATGCGTGAATGATAAGGAGTTAGAGAATATATCCAAGTGTATTTACTCATGATCCATTTCTACTAAATTAAATCTAATTCAAGCAAATCAATTTTTCTTCTGGAAATTTTAAACTTTCCACTATATATCGAAGAACTTTTCGCACGATAATCCACTACACTGTTTTACCACTAACCAAACCGATTTTTTTAACGCCTCTACTATATAGTTTTATGGCATATTGTAAACTGGAACCAATCACTGTCCAAATTGTGATCATTGTTGAAATCCAAAATGTTCAGTTACGGATAGTTGACACTATCGCAAATGCGTCGAACCTCTTTATGATTACGTCACTTATGATTCACATGAAAAATTATCAGTCATACTAAAGCCTATTCCATAGAAACGGCAGTGGCAGTGAGCGTCACCCTATTATATCACTGATTTGACAAATAGCGATAGTTCAAATGTGCCCCTCTTGTTCGTCTTCCACAAAAATTGGATAAATCAGTCAAAGTGGGAGGTTGACGCCACTGCTACTACCTTTATCTGAATGAGGCCTAACATCCCAGTCAGCCAAAGTACATCTTCAAGACCTCTTCGAGACGATTATTCCGGTACGTAAGTACGTCTTACAGAACGTACATTTTCCAATGGAATGTGCGTCTTGAAGACGTATTTTTCAGGTCTTTTTCATGTCATGTATGTCACGTGGAAGACGTATTCAAGACGTCTCATTTTGGTTTAAGAATAGTGTCATTGAGACGTCATCACTGTTCGAGTTATGACGTCATTATCATTTTTATAAGCGTGCAATAGCCTATTCCGATAAAACCTTCAAAAAGAGCGCATTTTTCTGTGTATGGAAGTCGTATTTTTTCTTTATTTTTTCTCATTTTGCATAACCCTTTATCCTGGAAATGAAAGAGATTTCATCCATAATGACAGTGATGACGTCATCAAAAATATGAGTAGCCGAAAAATGCGCAACTGAAAAAGAAAATCAACGTGTCAGAGCGTTTTTTCCGCACTGGCCATATTAAGCTTTCTACGAATTTGTTCCAACCTTTACTTGCTCACAGTTTGAAAAATATGCACCAAACTGAGTAAATTCACTTTGGCTTCTTCGAATCAGTCACTGTGTTGGTGGTCATTTCTAAAAATAATAACTCACATATATTGTAACAGTAACAGTATGTTCCTTCTTTGTTACAACAATATATTTGATGAAATTAACAAAAATAGCTGCATAGAACTCTAAATAATAGTAGGTCTCGGGGTGGTACCCCGGCTACCAATTTTTGAAGTAAGTAATACCTTCCAAAAAGGTATTCATTTTTTACAGTACCACCCTGTATCTCGAAAATAGAGCAATTCCAGACTGAGGTAAGTTGCTTAAAATCGGCTTATTTTGACTTCAGGACTATGTGCTAAGATTTTCTATAGACCTTTTAGGGACACCCTTATAAAGACCATACTCAGAGCTAAAATGCTGCACTCAAATGTACATACGTCTCTTAGACGTCTTCTATACAGACTAAAAGACGTAATTCAGACCTTAAATGTACGTTTCTGGTGCTGACTGGGATCAATATCTCATGCTATATATTTTCGATAATGCAAACATATCTTTATTTTCAATCCTTGCGTATAAAGTTCCATATCCTCGACAAAAAAATACGAATGAGCCCACCATAACTCTCCATTCATCTCTCTCTCAATATTGTGAACTATTTAATATTCAGTTCATTCATTGTAGGACTTTTTGCCTTATATGGCTAAAGAATACGGATTTGAATACGAGCTGGTCCAGTATAAATGGCCTAGGTGGCTCCATCAACAAACTGAAAAACAGAGAATTATCTGGGGCTACAAAATTCTCTTCTTGGATGTACTTTTTCCTCTGGATGTGAAGAAAATTATTTTCGTTGATGCCGATCAGGTGAATTTATCTTTCTGCCATGATTTTGTTAGTTGTTACTGTATATGTATCTTTTGAATCGCTCAAGAGATGTAGGTGGAGGTTGTCTAAGTGTTTTTTGTCAATAAAGAATTACTTTTCGCCTCCTCAGTACTAGGGTATATTTGAGCGAAAGAAGTAAATCATTTCAAAGCAACACATATACACATTTGTTCACGATCAAAAGACTAACAATTTTAAAATGTACAATGTATATACTATATGAATTATTTTCTGCGACCTGGATCAGTGTCACAACTTTTCCAACAATCGACCGGTTACTTGGAAACGTATTTTGCAGGGATGAAAATTCGCGACGTGTACTTGTCCTAGTTCCAAGCTCCGGGTTTTCGGGCTAAGGACCGACAAGCAACTTTGTCGTGGATGGTCCAATGTTGAGATTGATTTCTCATAATCATATTCACAAACGAAACTGTTGAGCCTGCTTCCTCACATCTCTTAAATATTCATATTTATCTTCGTGTCATCCCTGTGTTTATGTTTAACCACAAATCTAAATGTTCGTTCATTATAAACAAATACGTTACCGTTCAATGACTCCGAACCATCTACGATTTAAACTTATTTTTTCGAAACTGCATGTTTCTTTCATCTTGCAGACGACTACAACTATACTGTTCGTCCATTATCTTACCATTTCATGTTTCTGAACACCATCACCTCACAGAATTCGTAAGATGATAGAAGTTCCAGCTTTAGTTCCTTTACTGTTGTCTTTCTATTGCTTGACCTCGCCCACTAAAAACCGTCTCAGCTTTCAAGTGTAATTCCGGTGTAACAAAAAAATCTATGACTGTGAATCCGCACCTCACGCCATTTAGGTTGTGAATGCCGACATGAAGGAGCTAAACCACGAATTATTTTCTCAAGTACAGATTTACCATTTCTGCTAATGAATAATTTTATGATTCGAAAAGATCAGCTAATCACAACAAATGTTTTGTACTGATCACAACAAATCTCTTCTAGAAATGTAAAACAAACCTGGCATCCGTGTAATGTTTTGTCAACTCAAATAGGTAACGCGGTTAGCCCATTTCGAATGTTACTAGTATTTTTCGTTGGCCATTTTTTTCACGACTTATTTAACAAGTATGACGAATCTGTCTAGGGAAAGTGAAAGAACCATACGTTATTCGACGAGTATGTTATATTGATATGATAGACGATAGTTATACTTGAAACGAGATACTGTCACAAGCTGTAGTCGGGGTTGCCTGAGTTGTGTTCTTTGTCAATAGATAATTAACCTCTTATCGTCTGCTTAATAATAGGGGATGTTTTACACATTTATTCAAGATCAAAAGAATAACAATTTCAGAAAGTAACCCATTTCTACTATGTACTGGGTGATTGTTTATATTCTACTCAATAGCTATTTCAGTTAATATTGGTCTCACAGAAACGTTCAAATAGGCAAATGTGAAGTATTTTTTACGGGCATTCAGAATCTAATCCTTGAAAATGCAAAAAAGCAACGAACACCTAAAAAGTTAACATAAACTTTTATTTTTTAAATGAAACACCCTGTATTTTATTTTCATTGAGGCTATCTTTGTCAGTTTTCGAAAAATATAGATTCTTACAACGCCAGAAATCGCAGCATTGTCGTCTGGCGTTCAACATCTGCCTTTAATCTATAATCTATACCAAAAAAATCTATATTTTTCAAAAAGTACAGACATTCAAAATCATTTCCTTACCTCAATTAACCCTATTTGATAGTCAGAGTCTGTGAGACTGTACCTCAGTAGTTGAAGGAAAATAATTCACCTCAGTGGTTACGGGTTATACTTGCTTTTCCTGAAAAATTCGTGAGATGAATGAAGTTTCAACTTCAGTTCCTACACTGTTGTCTTTGTCTTATTGGAACCGTCTCAGCTCAGTTGTTAAGATTAGAGTTCCTAAATGTAATTCTACAAAAATGGAAACAGAATATGATGCGGCCGGCATGGAATATAGGATCAGGCCACAAAATTTGCGAGGTATTCAAATTTCTTCGTAGGATATAGAACATTTTTCAACGCATTCTTATCATGTACACTTCAGAAGGGAAGATTTGATGTTGAAGAATAGGATCGTATTGAGAGAAAGAGCCGAACCCACAATTTATAAACTGAGCGAGTATCGAAAAGAACCTTATTCCAATTTATAACCAACAAGAAACGAAAAACTTGCAAATAATGAAATTCATTTCGAACATATTCTGAAAGAAAAAGACTTGAGAAGCGAATTTTTAGAGTAAAAATATTCAAAAATACAAAGGTTTACGAGTGGAAGAGAGTGAGGAATTCAGGAAACAAATAGAAGAAAAAAATAGAGAGTTAGATAATAAGTTGAAGCAAAAAGATTTAGATACAAAAGTCAGAGTTAGCAAAATTCAGAACTATTACCTAAAAATTATTCCAGATTTGAAACAGAATCAGCAAATATCTTCAGAGAAATACAAGAAAATTGAACAAGCAAATATCCAGGCAATTTTGAGCAAAATTCATAGTTTCGACGAACAATACTATGAACAATTTTTTTATTTGAAAAATCGAATGGAAGATTTGAATTACAAATTAAATAATATTATTATTATTTACCCTAACTGAAATCAGCTGTTATTGTTGCCATATCATTTATGTTCATTTATTAATTACTTATTACCTACCACTCTTGTACAAGTGAAATTGTTCCATACGAAATAAAAGTATGTTTCATTGGTTGAAATTCATCAGTTTTCACCCCATTCTGAACTTTTGTGATGAAAAATTTTTCAACTGAACTTATATACATATAAGCCTTATATAAGAGATTCATTTCATAGGAATAGTATATGTATTTCGTTGGTATATATACATACCAACTTGATATCGACCTCCATTGAGGTCCTTCAGCCTTATCATTCAATATTTCGAGAAGAAATAATTTTCTAATCAATTTATCGTACCCTTTCACCCACTTAGGAGACGCTATGCACTCTCATACGAAAATCAAAGACAGAGAAAGATATATGGATGTACTCTTCCCAGGACTTGTGGAGGATGGAAGATGCGAGGATCCTTTATCTAAGCGAAAAACATATTCTTGTCGTTGTCTGGCAAAACATATGATTTTCTTCAAAATCGTTTGTGGTTATGTTTGATTTTCACTGCTTGTCTAGTGTCGTTACTCACAAAAAACGTCAAAAGCAGCAGTGTCAAGTTCATTTAGGAACTCTAGTTACGATATGTCTATGATCATATGATTTTTTCGATTGTCTATCAACCCGCTCTTCACGGCATGCAGGTGGTGAGAGCCGACATGAAGGAGCTGCAGCAACTCGACCTCGGCGGGGCTCCATACGGCTACACGCCGTTCTGCGAGTCGCGCAAAGAGATGGACGGCTTCCGGTTCTGGAAGCACGGCTATTGGCGCAACCACCTCCAAGGCCGGCGCTACCACATCTCCGCTCTCTACGTGGTGGACCTGAAGCGGTTCAGGCGGATAGCGGCCGGCGATCGGCTGAGAGGTCAGTTTGACGAGATGAATATGCATTTATACAGTCTGTATAATACACTCACCGGCAAAAATAACCGGCCACCAAAAAATTTAGTCAAGTTGTTCGCCCTGTAACTTCTTTAGTTCTTGTCGGATTTTGGTGAAATTTTGATCAAATCGTAGATTCATGTTCCGGAATGTTAACCTGAATATGAATTCCCAAAAAAGCTGATACCTTGGCCATTATACAGGGAAAAACAAGAGTTACTCATTTACCCATAACTTCTTAACGCCCTGTGGCTGAAGTGAGTGGTTGAACTCCTCTTCATTATATCTTGGATTGAAGAGTATTCTTTTCTCATCACAATAGTTTTTGATTCACGTCAATATCTCATTTTTTAGAAAAGATACGAGGGTTTTAAGAAAGTATGGAGTTATTCAAGTTTTATTAACAATAATCAGAACGTAGATACACCTACACAAAAAACCTTAATTACAAAAAACAAACGAAAAGTAGATCTCCTAGATGTATTCAATACCGAGTATGCCCTCCTCGAGCTTGAATTACAGCATTTAATCGCCGTGGCATCGAGCTGATCAGATTTCTCAAGCAGTCTTGAGGAATTGCCTCAAATTCTTCTTGAAGGGCGAATCGTAGCTCTTGAAGAGTCTCTGGCAATGCCGGACGTAGACGAATGCGCCTCTGTAGTTCATCCCAAAGATGCTCTATAGGATTGAGATCCGGGCTGCATGCTGGCTAGTCATCAAGCCTTAGAATTCCGACCTCATTCAAATACTCGGTTACAAGCAACGTTTGGTCTGGCGTTGTCATGCATCAAGACAAAGCCGTCTCCAATAAAATGGGAATATGGGACGACAGCTTCTTGTAAAATATCTTCCACATATCTGTGGGCGTTCAAAGCACCATTTTCCACTAATACGAGGTCAGTATGTCCTTCTGTAGAAATGCCTTCCCACGCCATAACTGAACCTCCGTTGAAAGATACCCGTTCAGAGATAGTGCAGTCCGCAAATCGCTCGTTTTGTCTTCTCCATACCCTTTCTCGACCATCAGGTGATTGCAAACAAAAACGTGACTCATCGGTGAAGAGAACCTCTTTCCATTGTCGAAGTGTCCAATTTGCATGTAACCGTGCAAACTGTAGTCGTGTTCTACGATGCCAAGGTAGCAACTGCGTTCCTGTAGCAGGTCTCCTCGATGCCAAACCATATTCTCCAAGCCTCCGCCTGATGGTTCTTTCACTAACATCAACACCTCGAACAGCGTGCAATTCATGTTGAAGCTGAACAGCTGTTTTTCGGCGATTCCTGAACGATCTAAGCGCAACAAAACGATCATCAACCCTACTTGTTGCTCTTCTTCTTCCGGATCCAGCACGCCTTTCGAATCTGCCAGTCTCCAGAAAACGATTCCAGACATATTGAACTGCAGTTCGAGGTATTCCTAATGTTCGAGACACATAACGTTGACTGTGACCAACAGTTAACGCCATTATTATTACCCCAAAACTGTTGTTTTTCTTTTTAACAACAATAATGACATGCCACCGTGAATCACGAACTAAAACAAAAGGGGCTGATTTGTATTATTGATTAACTGTCAAAATCACTCCAGACAATTGTCCAAGCCTGCTATTTTATTTTTAATAATCGAGGGTGACCAGTATTTTTCTGCCGGTAGAAGTGGAGTGTCAATCGAAGGAAAGTATACCAAGAAAACAATGTGGAAATAAGCCATATTGATTTTAAGATATTTTTTTTGAGTTGTCGATCGATAAGTTTATGTACGTTCTGATGATTGTTAATAAAACTTGAATAACTCCACTTTCTTAAAACCCTCGTATATTTTCTAAAAAATGGGATATCGACGTGAATCAAGAACTATTGTGATGAGAAAAGAATACTCTTCAATCCAAGACATAATGAAGAGGAGTTTAACCACTCACTTCAGCCACAGGGCGTTAAGAAGTTATGGGTAAATGAGTAACTCTTGTTTTTCCCTGTATAATGACCAAGGTATCAGCTTTTTTGGGAATTCATATTCAGGTTAACATTCCGGAACATGAATCTACGATTTGATCGAAATTTCACCAAAATCCCACAAGAACTAAAGAAGTTACAGGGCGAACAACTTGACTAAATTTTTTGGTGGCCGGTTTTTTTTGCCGGTGAGTGTATTTCTTTGCGTGTGACTGAAATTAGCATAGACCTTCGCGCAACTTGCTATCCTCTTCAGATTTGCATATAGAGCAGCAATGTCTATCATGACGTTTGTTGACATAAGTTACGACATCGTAGAGGTGTTCGTATGTCGAGACACATTTGAATCGGCTAATTCAGAGGTGTGCAGTAGGTGCTGAAATGACATCGTTTTGCGTGACCATTGTCAAATATTCAACATGCCAGGAAGACGTTTGAATTCGCAAGCACGAAGACATAATTTTAGCGTGTCGCTAATGCCCTCAATATTAATCTGCGGACAGTTTCCAGTATTGAAGTTCGTTCTGAGAGAAACGACAGTTTGAGTACGCCAAGGAAATCTAGGACTAAAAAAAACCCAAGACAGTAGATCAGGATGATAATTTGAAAATGGAAGTACACAATGTGATCAATACTATGTATGCAGAAAGTAGGTGATTTCATTTTATACCTACCTTCAACTGACTATTTTACAGAAAAACACATCACTTGGAATTTTGAAAGAACTCAGAACTAAATATATTCTTTATGCAAGTATAGGCACATTGAGCAAACTTCTCACAAATGTAGGTTTCAAACATAAAAAAGAAGACAACAGACGGTTCTTGGTTGAGAAGACGGACATATCTATGATGAAAGCAGAGTTAAACACTCACCTATTTTCATTTTCCCAGTATCTTTTGTATAAATTCTTGAATAATACTCGAAATCATCCCCACGACATTTTGATATGATCAAACAATCAAATCAATTGGTATACATGTTTCGGACATATATATATATCCATCCTCAGCCTAATCAACAATTGCTACAATAATTGTGTCCTAGAATGAATGTGAATAAGTGCAAGAAATGGATTATTCAAAATTGGAATGTTCCCGTGGGAATGAAAAAAGTTTGGTTACATCCTAATATTAGTGACCCAGATAACACCGATCTCCTTGAGAACTGACGGCCGACTATCGAAATGTAATGCTTTCCCGGCATCGAGGTGTCCAGGCGGCCGCCAGCCGGCCGTAATACACATTACCGGCGATTAAATTATTAACTTAGAAGTGCTACAGCGGCAACAAATTTCAATGCACCATTGATGGAAGCGCTCAGCCACCAACGTATATGCGCTTGCAAATCCGTATCAATTAGGATGATTTTTCCGAGCACTTTCCAAGTATCTGACCGCGAACTACAAACTGTGCGCATTAAAAGTTGATATTCGATGATACATCCAACCTTCCGACTGTCGCTGCAACGAAGTCATAATTGAGAGTTATCTTACAGGGTCATTTATAATAAACTGCCAATGTTGACTCTACCAATGGTCGTCACATTGTTACTTCAAATGGAACACCCTGTAGAAAAGCATTCACACAGTAATTCACAATAATTGCCATTCGAATAATTTGTTCGAGAATTTCTTATAGGTATATTACAGAGGGTATACCCAACGTATCTTTGCAATAGGTATCGGTATAGGTACTGCATCAGTTTTATGACGTTATGTCATTATGAGAACAAGTTGTTTTTGTTTAGTTTATTATGGGAATGAGATCAGCGATTAGCAGCGGGCTCTAGAACGGATCTTTACCCCCACCCTTTCATATATTTCGCGACGAGGATTAACCTGGATGATGTCGAATTGAGAGATTTGCACTTGAGATTGAGAGATTTTTGCTTGGGATTGAGAGATTGTCACGATATTTTTGGGATTGGTAGTATTTGAAGAAAGATTGAGATATTTGATACGAGATTTATGAAATCTCAAGAATTGAGCTGTGATTTCCAAAGATTGACACATTATTTTCGCGTGTTGTCAGATTTGAAGAGAGATTTAGGGTTTCTAAGAGATATTAGTGGATTTCCAAGATTGAAGCTTGGATTGGTGAGATTTCTAAGATTCGAAGCGGATCGGAAAGAAAGTGTACACCAGATTGTCAGAGTGAGACACCCCTCGGATATAATTGAGTGAAAATGTGCATGATAATATCGAAAATTTGCATGATGATAGATTAATAATAAGGATCTACTCTACGATCTTTGATCGACTTGACCATATCCCGTTTCAGGCCAGTACCAGGCGCTCAGCCAAGACCCGAACAGCCTGTCGAACCTCGATCAGGACCTGCCTAACAACATGATCCACCAGGTGGCGATCAAGTCGCTGCCGCAGGAGTGGTGCTGGTGCGAAACGTGGTGTGACGACGCGTCCAAAGTCAGAGCGAAAACAATCGATTTGGTGAGTCAAAGAGCCATGCAAATCGAAGTGAACGGGGAAGTTTCCTTCAAACGAATTTTCATAAAATAAGTTCAGAACTCTCCAGTTTTATTTCCACGCTGTACAGAATGGCGACCGATAAAGTCCATGTCGTTTCAAATTAAAGCAATTTCTGATTTTCGGGGCGGCAAACTGTGACGTACATTCGGAAACTAGTCTGAAAATAGCTGATGGTGAAGAATATAGATAGGGAATAGCTAACGAATAGCTAACGAATGAAAAACGAATGAAAAAAATAGAAGAAGAAATAAAACTGGTAAACAAAAACATACATAACCACAAATGCACTCGGAGCAGGAATGCAGAGGGTAGTTGGCTTCATTCTGACAAATTATGGTTTTGTTATTTATGCATTGAAATATCTCGAATAGAGCTCGATCCTAAACGAAAATATCATTAAATCAATGAATCACTATCACACATTCAATGATACTATCCTTCCTAATTTACTGTCATCGGTCAGAACAAAATGAAGCCGACACTCATGGCTCCTTCCTCTTGTTGTGCCTGTCAGTATTTTGAGTGGTGTGGACGGACTCGGAAGTATTTGGCGCTGTCGCAAGATATAATCTGCAACTTTCCTAGAAAATAGATCCGTTTTATCAAGGAACGAATTCATTAGCAAAAAAAATGACTGATAAGTCATGAATAACATATCGTGATATAATGATAGTGAAAAATTATAGATACTATCGCAAAATATCGTAATTTACCTTTATTAGTAATCAACTTTATGTAACCAATGAGAGATTTATGAGAATTATTCATAATACTTGACAAAGTAGGATTGAAGAACCTATTATATTCTATTGCTGTAATGATATAGGTATTATGCATTCAAAGAACAATTTCCGGAAGTCAAGATATATTGATGATGTCGGCAACGTCGTACTGGCACAGGGAATCGTCTTTTATGTGGATTTTCAGGAAGTACGTCATAGGAATGGTGGAGGAGCCAAGTTCCTCTTTTATTTATATTTTTCTGAAGTAAACTTTGATCTATGTGTATATATTAATGTTTTACAACTTTCACAGTGAGATTTATCATGTTTTAGATTTATATATTTGTACCAACCTGACTATTCCTATACTTTTTTAGAAAGTCTATTTATTTATTTATTCATTTATAAGAACTTCAATATAGGAAACTTCGCCATTGATGAAAATAATAATAACTACCCTTCAAAACTACGAACCAATTTTATGTCAACACCGCAAAGGCTAATGAGGAATATCCACTTGAAGTTGAAGTAATCTCCGAGGTCAAATCGAATTGATTTTCGAAAGATTATCAATATCATTCCATTAGGTTAAAACCTATATTTCTGAAAACATCGAGATCCACTCTTTGCAGTTGATTTTAATTGATGTCCAAGGTCAAGTCATCTGAGCGAAAATACATTGGATTCTGCTTGAATTCATAACAATATTTCAGTATGAAACATGGTGATCTGGAAAATAATATTCATTGTCAGTAATACATTCATTCAGTTTTGAAATAGTCTTGAAGCAGTCTTGGAGTGTCTTGATCAGTTGTTGAACTGTCCAATATAATGTCTCGATCTCCGTTTTGTTGAACAGATTTTTCTATGGGCCTCGTAAAGTTTCAATGCATGAAACAGTTTGGCTATCCATAAAAATGTGTTTCTTTACTACTATTTATTATCGGTAGGGTGACAGACAATTTCTCGATATTCCAGATGTATTTTGACATCTAGCAACTATGTGTTTCACTCACTGAGTCGTGACGTCAGTAGTTTTGGGTGGAAAATTTCGACAGTGTGAATGAGACTGTGACTTCATTTCTGATTCTCAGACCTTGAAACTATTGAATCATTTTTTGTTAAATAATAGAATTGAAAGTTTTAGTGTGAAGATTTGAAAAAAATATTTAAAAATGTCCACAAGCCCATTCAATGTATCTCATATTACCTCCTACTATTGTGGATAGTAATAATGGATTAACTTTCAAGATGTTTGTATTTGTCTTTTTCTTTGTTACTTATTTGAATTACCATTGTTTTATAGTGTAATAATCCGATGACAAAAGAGGCTAAATTAACAGCGGCTGTGAGAATTCTCCCCGAATGGAAAGGATATGATGATGAAATAAGAGAATTGCAAAGGAAAATTGATTCCGGATTGTTAGATGCCGATCCATCGGAACAAAGTGATGCTACTGAAAAAGGTACATGATCAAGCAACAATCTACTTTATTCCATGTTGCCTAACTGCTTTTTCTTTGTTTGCAGATACGACTGATATTCATTCGGAATTATGATGTGTGATTGAGGTTAGTTGTATAGTTTAATTTAAATTATGGTTGCTGTACAGATTTTTTAAATGATTTTCAAAACAGTGTGATAGGCACATAATGTCAAGTGTCTTGATTTAAGTATTGTAAGAAATAAACAACTCAAATCATTTTTTTTTTCATTATGTCACTTGGATACTGATATGACGTATTTTTTGTATTATCAGCGATTAAATAAACAGTTTTCAAGTTTGCAGGCTTGAAACAGTTCATCGATATTATGTTAAGTGAGACATTTTATTTCATTAGTCGGAGTATAGTTTATCCAAAAATAATTGCAGTCTCGTGCCGCACCTGCACTCACTTCAAAAGGAACCTCGAACCCGCCGGAATCATTACGTCATAGTCTGTGCGCAAAATTTGATGGAAATTAGAAGTTATAATGAGAAAATCAAATTTTGCCCGAAACTTCAACACCTGTTCCTTTGGCAGCAAACATCTGCCAACAAAGTTTTCTCATGAAATTTTCTTTGTTGTTTTATCACCTATCAAAATTATTTACGTTTAACCTAGCCCAGACTGTAGAGATAATTATTGATTATTGCCTGACTTTTGGTAATATAAAGATGGAAAATATCCATTAAACGCTGTTTTTATTGGCACTTGGGTTCCATAAATATTTCGTTGAAGACGTCAAATACTACCTACTAATACGTCAGCAAAAAACAGATCTTTATCTTTCTTCAACTTGAATTCAGACTATCAGCTAGGTATACTGGAAACACAAATTTTAAATAAGGAAAATGCGCCTAGTAAATCCCAATTTCATTTCCAGATACGAAATATAATTATTACGAATTCATACAGAGTATTTGAAGATATCTGAAGATGATATGAAAAATGTGTCATTGAAGCTTTACTCAATATTCAATATCAGGAAAGAAACAGGTCTGCTTCCTTCTTGCAGATTTACCTGATATTTTTATGAAATTAATCAAGAAAATAAACTACTGGTTTCACTAGAGACATTCGTATACTTGTGTCATGGATCTACAAATCTTACATTTCACATAACAACAATTATAAAATTTACACTGGCATCTTTCTATCTTCTCTTCGACAACAGTTCGGTAACCTCGTCCACAACATAGTTGTCGGCAGCTTTCAGGACCATTCGATGATACATTACATTGTCTGTGAATATAAAAAATAATCAGTATTAGTTTATTTAGTGAAGACTGGAATCTTCAGCACGACAATCACACTACAATGTTTCACCACTAACCAAACCTAGTTTTTAACGCTTCGACACGTGTTTCGCTATGTTACCATCTTCAGAATATCCTATTCTAAATGCTGCTTGTATAGGGTGTCCCGAAATTAGCCTGCTAAACTTCACCGCAATTACCGCAACAAAAAAGAGCGATATGGTTATGTAGTAAATAAGAAGCCTCCAATTATGGGTAATTTTGGTTAGAAATTATACCGAGAATGTCGGTTTGTCAGTTATGGTCAAGTATTGATTTTGTTCAATAACTGTCAAATCTCAACCGATTTCCAAAAACGGTGCACCAAAGAATTCGCAATGAAAAGGGCGTTAAAATGATGTTGAAAATAGGGTAGTTTGCCATTTAAAATTTCAAAGTTGGGGTTTTTATAGGTGTTATAAGGATGAACACATCAAGTTCGTTCAACTGTCAAAAATTATTTTGATTTGGGGTAGGAATGCGTAGAATTGCCTCATGTTTTTTTTTTCATGTGCTTTCATGTTTTGAAATATGACATGAATGAATTGATTATTCAAAATTCATTCAAGGTTAGCTACAATGAAGGTGGGGGGAGTCCCAGTTCGCCTGAAAAATTACAGTTTCGTGTAACTGTGAACACACGTTCTCCCGCAATGGCTGAAAATCGTTTTACGGCACGGTCCCAGTTTCCCACAATGTGTGTTTTCTAGTATCCACCAGGTTTAAATAATATATTGTGCAACAAGTGGGAAAAGTTCAACTTTTCTCACGAGTGTGAAAGTTTGTGACACGAGTCTGAAGGGCGAGAGATGCAAACACACGAGTGAGAAAAGTGATTTTCCCCACATGTTGCACACTATACTTTTTCTACAACTGCACTTATTCAAAGAATCCCAGTAATGTAGCTCATTGGTATTCATTTTATACCAAATAGTAGACGCCTTTCCTAGTTCCTCAAAGAATTTTAGAAATGTACACTATCCGAGAGAGATTTTATTTCTGTATTTTTTAGATTCCATAAATTTTTCGTTTATGCCAATTCATACTTTTTTCTTGAAATTTCCGGAAACAAATCCAACTTTCGCAGCTTCTTCCATTATCTCTGTCTCTGGTGGTGTATTTATCAAAATCGTCACATCTCGGTATATACATCATATCATTTATTATGAATTGTTGGAACAATATTTGATGGAAAATGCGATTTCTATCAAAAGCACTAATGAGAACTACCCTAAAGAATTTAAAAAACTTCTTCTGACAGTTGTGACAACTATTCAAAGCTGAACAGCAGCCAAGTTTTGGTCGATTTTTGTTGATTCTCTATGAAAATGTATGTGGTGTTGGCAAAGTGCCGTGATAACAAATATTTCTCACAGTATGAGCAATACATGGTTTTGAAACTAAGTTAGCTATGAGAAATGCGCTACTTTTCTTCGCAGTAGTAGACAAAATACATACATACATTTCCATGGAGAATCAACAAGAATCGACCAAAACTTGGCTGATGTTCAACTTTGAATAGTTGTCACAACTGTCAGAAGGAGTTTTTGACATTCATCAGGGTAATTATCATTAGTGCTCTTGATAGAAATCGCATTTTTCATCAAATATTATTCCAACAATTCATAATAAATAATATGATGCATAAAACGGCAGTTTCTTTATTTTTTGAATAAAACCAGTTTTTTCTAATTTTTTCTACTATATAATTGCGAGCGAGTAATTTAATAAACCCAAGAAATTGCTCGTATTATACTCACGCATATCATTCTAACCTATGTTGTATTGAAAATGAAGGGGGGGTTCCAGTTACCTCAGATTTTCTGGTTACTTGGGCCCACCGACAAGAGAAAATAAAAAAAATCTGAAAAACGATGAATCGTTTTTATCATTCTAAAAGTGGAATTTGATAGTGAATACATTGATGAGTATTAAGGCCAAATCACAACTTCATTGAATGAAAGGTATCAGATAACGCTGAGCATCTTATTATGGATGTTGTAAAAGTATGTCCAACTCACCCCACTTTACCTTATAAGGGGGATTCAAGTTTTCGTTGGTAGACTCTGTATATAGTATAAGTAGGTATACTCATCCAAATAAAGATCAACATAACCGAGTAATAAATCTAAATTAAACTGCAACAGGGGTTATTTGAATATTATGTGAACACCTATTGAATGAAATTTTTTGTAAGCTAATAAATTATGTTTAGGCTCAATTCACTGGAACACTCTTCGCATTTCAATTTTACAGGTTGATTATCAATTATTTTGATTTATCGTCAACGGGCCGATACATAATTTTCTGCACTTACATCAAATTAATTTTCCGCCACGGTCTGCATAAATTTCCCTCGGAATTATATACCGACGGATGCTTGATCCTCTCATTAAACTAGTGATTCTCAAGTGACAGACGGTAACTGACCCTATTCAAACACCCAGTATAAGTATTTTCGTATTTTGTGAACATAGCTTGGGAAAAATTAAAATCGTTGCCGACTTCTCCTCGAGATAAAATGCTCGACAAAAAAGTCAATTCGTGACTGTGAACATTCTTATCTTTTTGCGTAGGATAATTATGGCACATAAATCTTAAGGAAGCATCCGTTTTTTGTCATTTGCGGTATCTGCAGAAAGGACAATGATAATTAAGTTTCTCTTCTGCTGTATATACAGGGTGATTCAAAAGTAAGCGGCATCCTTTCAGAGGCGTATTCCTTGCTTGAAAATAAGGCAAAAAGTTCCTATTGATAAGGATCCGAAAATGCTTCCTAAGGGAGCTACGGCCCTTTGAATAGGACACCTCAAAGACGGTTTTTTCTCTATAACTTTAAAATCCTTCACAACAAATTTTTAAAAATTGGTGTACGGCATAAACATTCGATGGTAAATAGGACTCCGTATTCGAAATTTCAGAATTTCATTCAGGGGCGTCACATGCGGGAGAGGGTAAGTGTAAAAATATCCCTTCTTCTCCGGATATTCAGGTTACTGTGATTTCGTTTGGAAATTATTTCGAATACGGAGTCCTATTTACCATCGAATGTTTATGCCGTACACCAATTTTTAAAAATTTGTTGTGAAGGATTTTAAAGTTATAGAGAAAAAACCGTCTTTGAGGTGTCCTATTCAAAGGGCCGTAGCTCCCTTAGGAAGCATTTTCGGATCCTTATCAATAGGAACTTTTTGCCTTATTTTCATGCAAGGAATACGCCTCTGAAAGGATGCCGCTTACTTTTGAATCACCCTGTATAGGTCCTTTTGATTAAGATAGCTTTGACTGGATTTAGGATGACAAACTAGATTGGAGTTAATTATTATTGTAATGGACTTAAAAAAAATAAACGTTGATATAAAAAGTACCTACCTAAAATTTTGGAATAATAGTCATTGATAGGTTATTATGGGTAATCCCAGTGAGTCATTTAAGAGCACCTACATTAAAATCTGGAGACAGAATTTTGAGTACCTAATCAATGAAAAAAATATTTTTCATTGAAATTTTGACACCTTGTATCTTGTAAACGAAACATTTCTGGGCATGTTTATTGAAACTTTTCGTCTTAGAATCACACCCAAGTAATCACCCCTTGAAGTTTGGCCAAAGACTTGAATAACACTCTGTATACATTGGCAAGATAAAAGTTCGTTAAAATTGCATGCTAGACAAAACAATAATTATTTCCTCTATCGAATCTATATCTACTAATGGTGAGGTGAATTGATGAATATCAGTACATATCTTATTTTTGAGTATGTCGCCAACTATCAATTAATTGATAAACCTAGAATCTCAAGACTAAGAGATTCTAGGGAAATTTCGTGAATCGATTGTCAGCTGATGCAAGACAGACTGTTTCGACTTGCCATAAGTCTCATCAGTTGCACTGGCCAGCTGACAATCGATTCACGAAGGGTACCTCCATATATCAAACAAGTTCGTGAATCGAAGCCAGTGCAACTGATGAGACTTATGGCAAGTCGAAACAGTCTGTCTTGCATCAGCTGACAATCGATTCACGAAATTTCCCTAGAATCTCTTAGTCTTGAGATTCTAAGTTTATCACCATCTGTTAGTGGAACATTAAAACACTTTGAGAATTACAGGTGTTGCGATAGTCTACAGAATCTGACATGGATGTCTTTTCTGTAAGTATTTAGACGTAGGGGTCTATATGCACGACTTAGTCGCAAGGTATGATTGATTAATCTACCTATACACATTGCACTTAAGCCACTAGATGGCTAGATCGTCCTTCTGCCCCCTCAGGGCTTCAAATCAATTTATTATCTATAGAGGGATAAAATAACCCTAAAATATCTTTTACAACCACATTATCCAGTAAACTCTGATACATTTGGTACAAGAAAAATGAATTGCTTCAGTTCAGAAGGCTATAATACATCCTTGCACTAGTTCGCCTACTAGGTTTTCATTTAGATCGACAATGTCTAGGGTAATCCAAGGAAAGCTGGAATTGTCGCTTCTTGGGAGCCGCTAATATTCAAAATGTAGCGAGAAAAAAAGCAGCAATGTATGGCTCATGTAGAGATCACTGTTGCACTTTGCCGAATTAGCGATGTAAGCGGAAATAGCGAAGTAGCGAAATTGGTATCGAACGAATGCCAGCGGTTTTCGAATTGAAAAATGGCAAGCAAGTCCGACCGTCATACCAATACTGAATAGCCGGTGAATAAAGACACAAATTTGTCGTAGACGATTTTTTGCGATCTGATTTAGCTTCACTGTTTTTACCTTCATTCTTCAATCAATTTTTTTTAAATCGTTCTATTGTACACAGTAAATAACGAAACAGTTGTTCAATAGGCAATAAATGACGATTAAAGGAGTATTACTTGGCATATGAGTTATACTGTGATAATTTTGTGTTCGGAGGTGGTCAAAATCCTTTTTGGACACCACGGAGGACCATTCCCTTCAAGGTAGTGTGGGAATCCCTACATGTAGGTGTACTAAACCACTAAACACTCCACTTCCTCTCGTCTGACCGGAGTCTCCGATGACACTTATGCCTGTTGGCCCATTCTACCATTGTACCTCGAATATGCCGTTATTCATTTTATCATATACCACCCATGGTTCTTATATAAGGGCCACTCGAAATGCCGCCACACAGTAACTGAGAGCACTGCTGCTCACAGGACCAGAGGTTCATTTGAAACACCCTTTTCATTCAGGTTCCTGAAGACTACTCTTTCGAGCCCTGGTCTCGTCCATGAAGAAGGCAAAGTTTTCCCTCTCCTACGAATAATGGAGGAAAGGGCTTGGTTCAGCCCTGAGGTGCCCCCTGCACAGGGTTAAGGCTGTTTACTCTGAGATGTCGCCCTATTTCCCAGAGGTCCCGTTATCGACACCAAATATCATCGGTGCCATTTATCTCTCGTCACGGGTTCCCACAACTCGGATTAGGTTGCCAGAGCCTGTTAATTGGATAGCAACAGTGAATCGTGCGGAATCATCTCCGGCCGAGGCTACTAAAATCATAATGTAAAACTCGTTTTGAAGATAAAAATTCTCTGCTCTGCCAGTAATCGAACCCAGCAACCTTTCGGCGTTCTAATTGCTAGTCGAGCGCTCAACCACTGCGCTATTCTGCCGTTTTGCATTTAAATATTTTTATTCGGCCATAAAAAAAATAGTCGTCTGACTCATAAAATAGGTATGACAGAAATTCGGTAGTCAATCGGAGAATCAGATGTTTTTGTTCCTCCTTTGTATATATCTGTTATGATGATAATTATTAATGAAACATTCCTTTTCGAAAGTTAACCTCAAATAAATTCCGTACACACATATCATTTCAATAAAGGTGTAGTATCTCAGTTGTCAGTTGGCATATAAGTTCGATTTGTAACCAAGTGATAGTTGAGGACCGGGGTTCGAATCCCATGGCGGTCGTCTTTTTTTTAAAGAATTTATCGGAAGACATGTACTGGTCCTGATGACGGCCAGAGTCTCCTATTGGTACTGGCCCATCAATGTTGACAGGAAGTTGGCCGTTCTGGCCAATTCTGGCCAGCATAAAAGGCTGACCAAAATTGTTTGCGGGGTACGAACCGTTTCCGACATACGGAGCGGTAAACCAAAAATCGGAACATTCTTATTACTTTTCCCCCCTCCTCCGGCTCACCTTCTAGACGTCAGAACTGTCAGTATGTTGATTCTCTAAAATAGATAAGTTGACATGAATTGGGTTGTCTAAATTCAGAATTAGAAGGCCAAACGAACCGTGTGGAAAAAATAAGAATGTTGATGCCGTAACTTTCGGCACACCCTGTATAACTGGAGGACTATATAGTATATTTAAGTATGAAAATCATCGCAATATTTCTAGTACGACGGCCTAGCCGGAATATGAGGAAGAGTAATTGTTTGAAGACACTGTTTACTTGGATTGCACAAATCCAAAGCCAAGGATGCATGCTGACGTCAATTCATTTCACCTCCCATGGGAGGTAATAATTTGTTCATTCCTTGGGAGTAAATAGACAACTTTGTTTCCTCAAATGAGGAAGCAACCGTCTACTTTCAGTGAGTAGATCAATAGTTATTACCTCCCAACTGTTCCGAAGCTACCAAGCTCATCGTCTTTCGTACAATAGTCCGGAGATTTCGAAATATAAATCAAAGCATGATGTGGACTGACGGCTCTATTTCTCCTCCTTTTCGAAATCCCTTCAGATAATGTTCTGCCAGCTTCGTCTTTGTGGAGTTCCAAAGCGGTCGTGTATTTCTTCAACAGCTTGTACCCTATTTCGGTCATAGATGGCAGCGCTCTCCAGCAAGTTTTGATATTGCACGATCCGGATACTCCGTGGCATTTGCACTGAGTGTGAAGGCTTTCTGTGATCACCTGAAAAATAAATCCGAAAAAAACAGCATCAGTGGTAATCAGTCAATCGAATCCAAGATCAGTCGGTAATGTCACTCCACCCATTAGCAACGTCACAATTTTTTTTTAATATCATGATAACTACGATATCAACCTGACCTTTGCATGATATATAGAAATGAATGGAACCTAAAAGTATGTTTTATTCATTTATTTATTTATTTATTTATTTATTTATTTATTTATTTATTTATTTATTTATTTATTTATTTATTTATTTATTTATTTATTTATTTATTTATTTATTTATTTATTTATTTATTTATTTATTTATTTATTTATTTATTTATTTATTTATTTATTTATTTATTTATTTATTTATTTATTTATTCATTTATTCATTTATTCATTCATTCATTCATTCATTTATTCATTTATTCATTTATTCATTTATTCATTTATTCATTTATTCATTTATTCATTTATTCATTTATTCATTTATTCATTTATTCATTTATTCATTTATTCATTTATTCATTTATTCATTTATTCATTTATTCATTTATTCATTTATTCATTTATTCATTTATTCATTTATTCATTTATTCATTTATTCATTTATTCATTTATTCATTTATTCATTTATTCATTTATTCATTTATTCATTTATTCATTTATTCATTTATTCATTTATTCATTTATTCATTTATTCATTTATTCATTTATTCATTTATTCATTTATTCATTTATTCATTTATTCATTTATTCATTTATTCATTTATTCATTTATTCATTTATTCATTTATTCATTTATTCATTTATTCATTTATTCATTTATTCATTTATTCATTCATTCATTCATTCATTCATTCATTCATTCATTCATTCACAACATCAGTTTTGAATTTACTTAGACTGCCACAGAATAGGTCACAATGTTTTTGAAGAACAACATAATTCCTTTGAAGCCTTGAAATAGGGTTATTGTTGCCATAATTCGTTGAGTGAAAGGTCAAGGAAAATAAAGATTTCTGCTCGTTCTAGCCGACCTATTGAATCTAATCAAACTAAGTAGATCTGGAGAATTAATAAGGCCATTTATCAATTTATATAGGAAACACATCCAACACTAATCTACGATTTTCTAAAGTTAGGAGATTAAGTTTCATTAAGATATCTGTGTAGTTTATATGTTCTAAACTATCAATATGTATTTGATATAAAGGTGTCCAAATGATGGACCAATACTCTAGTGAAGGTCTGACCGAATGGCAATAAAGTGAACGAGTTCCGAGTAATGAAACTTAACTTCGTTGAAGCAGTTTTCACTACCTTAGTAATATGACTTCTAAAAGTTGGTGTTACACGAAATATTATGCCTAAGTCCTTTATCTCATTGACTCGTCAACACAGAATTATTTATTCTATAAGCGTTCTCAATATAATTATGACCCATTGAAAAACTGATACAAAAACACTTTGAAATATTGAGGTCCAAATAATTAACCCTAGACCAAACATTGAAGTTAGTCAAATCAGATTGCAGCAGATCAATATACATATGATGCTGAATTTCTTCAAATATTTTCCAGTCATCTGCATATAACGTAAAAACAGAGTGAAAAATATATTTGCTGAAATCGTTGACAAACAAATTGAAAAGTAACGGTCCACAATGAGAGCCTTGAGGAACTCCTGACAATACTGGATTCACGTTAGATAAAAAATTTTTGATTCTCACACATTGTTGACGACCAACTAAGAAACTCTCAATCCATGCTACCAAACCTAAATTTATACCCATATCCCTGAGTTTTGCTAATAATAAAGTATGACTCACCCTGTCGAACGTCTTTGAAAAATCGGTATAAATACTATCAACTTGGGTATTATTCTCGAAGGCGTTCAACAGGAAGTTCTGATATGTTAAGAGGTTACTAATGGTAGCGTTACCAGAGCAGAAACCATGTTGTTCAGTAATGATTATATTCGAGATTTGCGCTGACAGATAGGCTGTTACCATTTTATCTAACATTTTGGGAATTGTTGATTGTAAGCGGGAAAGCAGCCTGTATGCAGTGAACGATTGAATATGTGTTCTAGTGGTTTTGCAAGTGTACAAAGACATTTTTTCAAGAGAAACGGTGGAACACCATCTGGTCCAGAGCAGAATTTATTAGGTAATTTAGTAATGTTTTCGAAAATTTCAAGGCAACTGATGAAGGTAGGGATCACGAAGTTGTTACATTGTTTCACAGTTTCTAAATAATATGGTATCTGTTAGTTTGGATCGTCAGCCCGATAAACACATGAAAAAGTATTTGGCAAAGAGATTCACTGATTCAATACCATTTGTACTAACTTCATCCTGCAAAAACATATGATTGGGATATTCATTATTTTCATGCATCTTATTAACATGATTCCAGAACAGGGAGGGTTCATCAAGAAGATAATTTAACATGAGTTCAAGTTATGGATGAATCAATAATTGATAATCACTATCTTACAGTACTTGCCTTTCTCCCCACCCTATTATTATGCAAATTGACCACCGCAACTTCCCCCTCTTCCTCCTTCTTCTGCTTATCCTCGCCCCTGTCGAGCGAGTACTTCTCTGCGTTGTCGACGAACCGCTTGGCGAACTGCTGCCCCCACTCGACGTTGTCCCCGCAGCCGCCCCACTGGAACTGGTCGTCAGGGGGCGCGCTCGTCGGCTTGCCCGCGCACGTGCAGTGATGCAGCGCGCCGCCCGAGCAGGCTCGCGCCATGGTGTGGGTCAGTGCCGCTGAGCTGATGGCGTACACGTAGGCTTGTTCACGTGTGGCTAGAAACGAAACAGAGTTCAGCTCAGCTGTGGTCGAAATTAGAGTCACTGGATGGTATTACCCAGATAGCACAAGTATGTCTTATGGACGTCCTAAAGACATACGCTTCGGATATTCGGGACGTCCCAAAGACGTCCAGAGGTACATAGGACGTCCGATTTTGGTCTGTTTCAGGTCTGAACTGGACCATTTTGGGACTTGAATCGTACATATAAACAAAAATATGTTTTCTTTGATGTCTTAGGTGCCAAAGTTGATTATTTTCAACAGCAATCGGAGCAAAAAATTGGTTTTAAAATGAAACATTTTTTGTTTTACCTTATAATCGACAATATATAGAAGTTTGATGAAGAATTATTAGCAAATAAACAGCTTGTGGCATTTTTTATGACACCATATTTTGAGTTCCACTCTATAGTCCAGGTAGCCGTGCGGACAGAGTGTCCATACTCTAATCCGCATTCACTTGCCGGTCGTGGGTTCGATTCCCGTCGACTGCAGAATTTTTTCTGATGGCCCAAGAAAGTGTTTGGGATCACACGTTGAAAGGTAAGGCCCCCGTCATTCCTTGCTCGCACAAGACTCTCGAAGACTTCTGAGGGTTGCTCGTAAGGGGGCAACCGAATGACGGATTGAACAATTTTACAATATACTCAAAAGTGCTGAGGGCATTTCGAATTATATGTGTGATATGTGATTTTGATGATAAAAAGCATTAACTGAAGGCAAAATTCTTTAATTATTATTTTCGTTCATCAATCAATACATCAGGTATATTCAACAATAACGAAAATGTAATGAGACAATTATTGTTAGACGTACCAATTTCAAAGTTAAGAAAACGTTGGGATAAGTACACCTAACCTGGAAAAATCACTTTCATTTGCACTCAGCGTAATAAAAATCTAATTGAATAACAATAACCCAATATTATTAGTATCACTGAGATAACAGCCTTGATAACATCCACTAACATATCATTGCTTGTTTTTTGATGTTCTCTAGTTAGAAATATGCTGGGATACACGACCTAACCTACAAAAATCACTTTCACTCACGTCTAATGAATGTAATCAAATGTGTGTAATTTGCTCACGTCGGTGAGCATTTGAGAATGTGTGGGGTAAAACTGTCAGCATCGAGCTCAAGTGAGCATTTCAATCACTCACTTGAAAATTAAAGAAAATAATGATTGATTTTTGGATGTACAGGACGTGGAAAGAAATTCTGAATTGAGAAAACCTAATCACGAATCTGCGATTGAGATCTATAAAAATAAAAGTTTCCATCGTTCAAGTTTGATCCCCTTGATTGGGTGATGAAAGTATTGCAAAGGAATATTCTCAGATATATTTATGAACACAAAAAAATGGATATATATATATATGAAGAACTACATTGAGAATTCGCATTCTCCATATAATGTGACTCCATTCAAAATCTGAAATACGAATACTTTGGACAACTTTAAAACTATTGTCAATTTTCAGGGCGCTCTAGCGGCTGAATCAAACAAGATATCGAGCCGATTTTGATCTCGTTTCACAGTAAATTTTATAGGTTTTGATTCTGGTATGATGTATTTTTTTCTCTAAATCACGTCGTTTCAAAGTTATGAGCAAAAAACCGAAATAAGTCCAGAATTTTCATGGTTTATTGCGATTTTCGTGGTGAAGCCATATTCGAAACTATACCTTTTCAACTTCAATTTCGGAATCGGTAAGTTATATTTCGGAAAAAGTAATCTCGATTTCAGAATTGGTTAGTTCGATTTCAGAAATGGTAAACTCAATTTCAGAATCGGTGAGATGAATTTCGGAAAAAGTCCATTCAATTTCAGAAATGGTAAGTTGTATTTCAGAATTATTATTGGTAGGTTCAATTTCAGAAGATAAAATCCTTTTATATGTTTGAAATGTTTTTGATTGCAAAAGAGAAGATTGTTCACAGTGGATGAACGGTGTTTGAGAGCCCTATGTTGAATCAGATAGAACATGTATGGGGTGCCTTCAAGTCGGAAGTGAAGAGCTTCTTGCGAGAGCATTGCTAAAGGGTCATAGCTGGGAATCCGAACAGCTTGCTCAACCAGATAGAATTCAGACTGCGATGTCTTGAGGAATGTGCAGATCATTCAATGAAAATGATAACACCTCAAATGTGTTTGCATTCTCATAATCATATGCAACGCTATTATCTTCCAGCGATTCGGATGGAAGGCATCTGTGGAATAAATTGAGATTATAATTATGTTATTGAATTGTTTTTGACAAGTTGAATATTGTAAATATGGTTTGTTAATCTCACATACAATTGGAAACATTTCGAACAAATAAGGATTTTTTTTCTGAAATTGAACTTACCAATTCTGAAATACAACTTACCATTTCTGAAATTGAATGGACTTTTTCTGAAATTCATCTCACCGATTCTGAAATTGAGTTTACCATTTCTGAAATCGAACTAACCAATTCTGAAATCGAGATTACTTTTTCCGAAATTGAAGTTGAAAAGGTATAGTCGATAATTAGGTTTCCAGATTCAGCGATTTTCTCCTGAATCTAGTGCTTTCTGTCACCAAATGGCTGGATTATATGTCACCACAACACGGCGAAAACGTGACTACGCAGTGGGTAGTATACGACCATATTTGTCATAGGTGCAGAGTATTCACTTCAAAGTACCTAGTTTCTAAACCTTCACAAATACTTCCTGAGGTTTCATATGTTCATCAACATCTACCTACACTTTCGCAAACCCTCAGCAGCTTCAAATAATAAATTGTATCCACCAATTTATGAAAATGCATGTATTATTCTCAGACATTCTCCTTTGTGATAATGAATTCAATTGAAGTAATTCGATTCAAGTTAATCGATTCATATCCGATAGATATTTCATTTCTCAGAAATTTTGCTGTTGAGATCTAATTCACAAACTGAACAAAGAAAGTATAATCCATGTAATACACCCCTCTTGGTTGACTCCGGCCGATGGTTACTCATAACATTGAATATTCCGATCACGGATGTTAGCTGATGAACTAATAGAAAGTCGATAAAGGCGTAGAACGGACTTTTCGAATTTCTTTTGTCAAATTTTCCTAATCTTCTTCGACAATATATAGGCCAGTCATTGGGGATTTTTACCTGGAAAAAAGTCCGGAAGTTTTCAAACTTTGTAGGATTATAGTTTTGGGTGTCCAGAACTAAAATTCACAAAATGCACATTCCGGGACATGCCGCCGGCGCCGCCATCTTGCCAAGATGGCGCTCAAAAACGGTTTTTTGAAAATATCTCCAAAACGGTGCGTTTTTAGAAAAAATATGAGGATATGAAAATTTAAGATGAAAAAATTTTCTACAAGAAATGTCCTCAGTATATTTTTGCTGAAGTGAGCCGTTTAGGCCCAAGAGCTGATTGAATGACATCATATTCTGTTAATTTCAATAAACTGCCCCTAACCAAATATGCGTATACATTTATCTTTTATAATGAAACGGGCTATCTAATTGGTTTCTCGTTATTTTTATAGCTTGCTGACAGAGGATATTTCCTATAAAATATTTTCCTAGAATATTCTCGCTAAAGTACCCTCGTTAAGGCACAAGTGCCCTTATCAAATTACAAATGTTGCGTAAGTTTTCTGTAGTGGCGAGTTTCGGAAATAATATGTGTATTAGGGGTCTTCAAATCTGATATTCAACGACTTCAAAAATATTTATCACGAAACGGTGGATATCCATTATTCAATTAATCGATGAAATCATCAATTAATCCATGTTAATAATTTATGATCAATCAATTTCGATTTTAAATGCTGTACTTGTTTCCACACCACCCAAGAGGCTAAGTACACGGCGCGTTTTCCTTAACGTGGTTTCCCCTGTAGTCCTAATCCACTCAGGTACTGAAATTATTTTTGGCAAAGGCCAGACGGACCTGGCTCGTTGATTTTGATATATTCAACGGGGAAACTGGTTACCTCAGCTCCAGAATCGATGTTAATTTCCTTCAACTCGTCGGATTCTTCTTCTGCAGTCGATAAAGAATCATCATGCAGCGAATGGAGGTCTTCTTCATCGGATTCGTCCAGTGTCACTTGGCTGATATTTTCACAAGTTTTCCCGTTGCAGACACCGCAAATCATCGAACATCGCAATCCTGCTTTCCTGCATCCGCAGGCTCTACCACAAGCCGCCTTGCACTTACAAGATGATAAAGCAAGTAGTGCTTTGGAAGCAGGATCTTTCAAATTAGTTATTGGAGTGAGGCCAGTTTGTGTTTTCTTCCAACCCCATTATTCAACTACTTTCGGACAACCACGCCATAGTTGAACCTGATAGCAAGTTCTCAACGAATGCTGTCGTGCAGCTGCGCTTGTCGGTGGTAAAGATGCCAAATTGAATTCACTTTTTGTTACCGACTTCACGAAACACTGGTATCGATATTTATCAAGATTGGTGTAATTTGTGTCTTTGAATCCATAGAGTGCAAGGAAAAATTTCTCACCGGCAAAGGCAACTTGATCAGGGGTGGCATGTTCATTTTTAAAAACTTCAATATATTATGATCTTGTAACTCTTTATGTTTTTTTAATGTTGTTAGAAACTTTATTTTTCCTTGGTTAAATATACGGTCTCGCAATTTTTTCATGTCCGTTTTTCTCGTAAAATTACTGATTGGCAAATTGTGTTCGTTAGGAAAGGTAATTTAGTTGATGAAAAAGTTCTTGTGTTTTTACCGTTTATAAAAATATCTCATCTGAAATATATATTTTGTGTATTTACTCATATTGGGATGGAGTGGTAAAGACAAGAAAGCAACATTTCAAATTTCTATGAATTTATGGGCGGTTTTACAGTACGGATACATAGTATAGGTACGAAATTTACTCATAACCATCCTGCACCCATGCACATACTTCTGGAGCAAAGTCGCCAGATTCGTCAATAATGCAATTTTTATATCGCCCAAATAATCGCAAGTCACAAATGCAAAATTTTTGTCGCATAATTGATCTAAAAATCGTCCAATATCACGAGGAACAAATTGAATAGCTCGTTTTATTATAAAATATGAATTTATACGCATATATGGAGATAGTTAGGGGCAGTTTATAGAAATTAACAGAATATGTTGTCATTCAATCAGCTGTTGAGCCTAAACGGCTCTCTTTAGCAGAAATATGCTCGGAACATTTCTTGTAGGAAATTTCTTCATCTTAAATTTTTATGTCCTTATATTTTTTCTAAAAACGCACCGTTTTGGAGATATTTTCAAAAAACCGTTTTTGAGCGCCATCTTGGCAAGATGGCGGCGCCGGCGGCATGTCCCGGAATGTACATTTTGTGGATTTTACTTCTGGACACCCAAAACTATAATCCTACAAAAATTCAAAACTTCCGGACTTTTTTCCAGGTAAGCCTTATTTTGGATCCCCAATGACTGAACTAATAGTTTCACCATTACATTAGAGCCGATTCGAGGGAGAAAATTCGAAAAATCGCTATACCGTCTTTGGGAAGTACGTGTCTGGAGAACAGAAAACTTTTTGTTTGCCTGCTTGAATCAAAGGGGTTTCTGTTGCGAGGGTCTGCAGATAATTACATGGCATTAGCTCCATAAATTAAGGGGTGGTATACTAGATAATTAACTGACCAATATGGTATAGTTAGATACAATCTATTTCATTTGTTAAATACTCTCTGTATTTTCTTTGAGGGAGTAGTATGTGACTATTCCTGAAGTATTTTAATTTCCCACTTCTCTTCACTGAAATTATCATAGAATACATTTGAAATCCCTACATTATATGGTTGACAGATCTGTTGTATTACGATCAAGCCCGCTCTGCTAATAATCTACAGTGTGTACATAAAGTAA